GTTTGTGATCATATTATATTTTTCTTTCTTTCTCTATGTGTGTTAGTGCGTGTGTGTCTTTGTTTTTAGATACCCAGTGAAATATAGATATGTGTATGTGCGTGTGTATGGATTAAGTGCATAAAGGAATAAACGTGTTTATTTACTCGTAGGGTAACGGTGGAAAGGAGGATGCAACTTGCGAATGAGAAGGAGAGTGATGCAGGCGTGCAATTGAACATATTATGCATGCTATGGTTGTTATTTATTGATCTGTTTGGGTGTTTGACACCACCTGGAGAAGATATTTAAGGCATGGAACGGGATGATGATGATGATGATGATGATGATGATGATGATGATGATGAGGAGGAGGAGGAGGGGAGTTGGGTGTCGCACCTATGTTGTCTTTGTTGTGCCTCCTTCTTTTTTTTTTCCTTTCTTCTTTTTTAAATTACTGTGCGTATATTAGTTCTGCATTCGGCAAAAAAACATTTCACTGAAGGCCTCGGTTTTTGCAACACAACAATTGAGCTGAACTTTATAGGAATTAGGACACGCACCTCTTTTTTTTTCCAAGGAGGCCGTAGAGACTGGCCAAGGCAAACTAGCCATAAGTATCAGGAGTCGTAGTGGTGGAGACGTGGCTAGATGGAAGCCGTCAGCACCGTGGACGGGAAGCTAGGTCTTGATGTGTACTTTCCTGGGTGCGACTTGTACTATCGCCAGGAGCGTCCTAGATACCTTCCCTACATGGATGGGAGCCTGTATAAGCCCTGGCAGCCATATGATCCCACACTGTTGGCGATTGAGCATCAGAGACGCAGCTCACCCGCAAATATTGGAGAGGCCTGCATTTATGGCAGTCTTGCACATGTCATCAAATTCTGGGCACAGGGCCAAGATATACATCAACGTCCTGCCGAGTTTGGAGGAGACGCGACACTGCTTATGTGGTGCGCACTCCGTGGTAATTTGGGCGTTGTGAAATTTCTGCTTGACCAGGGTGTGAAGCTCAATGAGTCTAATAGATTAGGCCACACGGCGCTTCACTGGGCAGTGACAGGTGTTCAATACGACGTGACACGTTTACTTTTGGATCATGGCGCTGACCCTCTTCAAAAAGATTATCAAGGGTACAGTGCATACTTTTTGGCTGTCCAAGCAAACAACCTTCCATTATTACTAATGCTATGCGAATGTTATCCGCTTGACCCGGAAGAACGGGATGTGGAAGGTCATTCCTTGTTGCACTGGGCAGCATACACGAATGCTCTGGCAATTTGTCAGTACCTTGTCGAAAAGTGCCACGTTGGTTTAAATGCGTGTGACAACAATGGACGCACCCCGCTTATCTGGGCGGCTCGCGAAGGCTACGCTGTGGTTGTGGAGTACCTTGTCTCACTGGGTGCTCATACAGGTGCCGCAGATGTAGACAATTACACGGCAATACAGTATGCATGTTTTAGAAATCATCGAGAGGTGGTGTACGTGCTGACGAAAAACCCTGCGGTGCAGGGCTGTGGCATTACTGCCTCGCTCAACGGCGACTCTTTGCAGAGTATTACTTCGGAAAGCGGGTACGCTGATGTGCGTCAGAATCGGCGACGTGGTACAATGAGCATGATGCTTCACGAGCCAATTTTTTTGGCTATTTCACTCTTTGGTTTTTTCTATGTGCTGCTTGGGTACTTAATTTTAAAGTTTATGCCCCCCTTGATTAGCCACGCCATCGTGGCTTTCTTTTTCTTTCGAAATTCGCTCTGGGTGCTTCTCTTTGGATTACCTGTGCAGGGAGGAAAACCAGAGCTTTCTCACGTACAAAAGTTGGGCATTGCGAGTAGCTTTGGTGAATCTGCGCGTGGCTTTTGGCTCTTCAGAAACCGTGATGCGGCTTTACTCTTCGCATTAGCGACGTTTTTGCTGCTGCAGCAATACGCGTGGACGAAGATGGGTCTTATACCGATAGTCACGTACTATCTTCCTGATGAAACCGCACTTATGAGACACGCCCTTGAACGTGCTCACCAACCCAAAGAAAATACATTATTGAATCTGTTCTTTCATAAGAAGGTTGAGCTGGAGCAATTTGTACTACTGTCTTTGTTTTGTCTCGTGGCGTTGAGTGGCATGCTCTGCAAACTGCTTTCCATGCGTTCTACGCATGAGCCGCCTGAGTCGTCACTGGATACCTCTCCTGTGTGGCCAATTATGAGGCAACGCGCCTACCGCTGGTTGCACCCTCGTATCCTTTCCATGGAGAGGCACATGTCGATTCCACTCCGTACCTTTTACTGTTACGAACGCGACATATTCTTGCGGCGCTTTGATGGCTACAGCATCCTTCTTGACTGTCCAATTGCGGAGAGTAATCATGGCTGGTTCTTTATTTTTGTCACCAGCTTGGCATGTTTTCAGTGGCTTATATTTTTTTGGTCCTGGGAACAGACAAGCGAGTTGCTGCAGTGCCCCAAACACTCATCCTTTTTTGGGTGGGTTGTTGGGTCACTGTGGAACCTACTTATTCACGCACTGCCGTGTCGCGATGAAGCGGGTTTTGCTGCGCTTTCCTATGGCCCTTGGTTTTCGTGGATTCGGCACGTATTCCCAACTGCGGCGAACTCCCTCGGCGTGTGGCTGCTGCAGTATAGTTTTTGTTTCGCCACCATGATGACATGGGTGGCTGTGCGGCAATGGGTGGCCGCGGCCACAGGTGCAACACGCGTAGAATTGGCGAACCCCACGGCACCAAGTAGCGAAGGTGGCCTTGTCAGCATTTTTCCTCCGACGCTCTCCTCTGCCGCCCCCTGGATTCCTCCAGAAGGCGTCACAGAAGGAGTGGCACCACCCGAGGAGGACGGCACGGTTGTGCCGCATGCAATGAATAAGGGTAACTATCGCTGCATATATGCGGAGTATAAACGTGCATTGTTGAATATTGTTGCCTTCTTGCTTGGTCGCGCGGGACGTCGTTGGAGTGGTGCAGTAGCTGTTTCCCCTTCAAACACGCCATTGTCTATTCTCTCGGTACTGAGTGACCCTTGTGTTGCGTAGCATTGAAGAAAAGATGTTGGTCTAATGTACACGCTTGGCATCACAAATCTGGATAAACACACATGCATACGCGTAAGTGTAGATGGAGGGGAGCTGGAAGGAAACCAGAAGTGGTGGAGTGAAATTTAGCAAAAAAAAGAAGCTGAGGAAAAAGCAACTGAATGTTTGCGCGGCTTTTTTTTTTGCTTTATTTGTTCACGGTCTGGCGCGTTGCGATTCAGCGGCAAAAAAAATTTTTTTTGTTCATTTATCCGGACCCTTTTTGTTGTTTTGTGTTTACGTGTGTGTGCGTGCCTTCTTTTTTTACTTTCAGTAAGATGTTAGTAGAATTTCAACCGGCGCTCCGATTGACGGTCAGCCACCTCTTTCCCACCCCCCTCTTTTCTCTCCCTTCAGTCGTGAGACGCAGCACCGTTATTTGCTTGTCGTGTCTCCACCGCTGCATAGTTTTGCTTTTTTTCACCCCGCTAGTTTTTTTTTTTTTTGTGCCACTGTGCCTGAAGAGGGAGCTAAGAGGTTGTTTTTCAGCTCTTTGTTTTGTTTTCTGCACGTGTGTCTCTGCGGGGGGGGGTGGGTTAGGGCCCCAGTTGGACCGGCGGTGAGTAAAAAACAAAGCGTCAAAGAAAAAAAACGGTGGAAAAAAGGGTCACGCCAAAAAGTGGGGAGGAGGGATGCAGTGGGATAACCGAGTAGAAAAAGTGGATTTCAGCGAGTCGCAGAGAGGTTCTGAAGACAAGGACGCTAGTTTGCCATGCACTTCTGCTGCTAAAGTTCTCCTTACTAGCACCACGTGCCCATCACGGGTGCCGGACAAGAGTTGCAGCAGTGTCGCCGAACCTGTTTCTAGTAGCTCTTCCGGAGGTGGAAATGTGGGCGAGGCGAGTGACACGGATTCAGAGGAGGTTGAGAATGGGAGTGACATGAGTGATATTAATCGCTACTGCAGGCATGAGGCATTGTTTTCTAATTGCAAGGGTGTTAATTATTTTATCAGAAGCGTGCCGCCACCAAAAACAGCGCGACGGATGTCCGACGAACACCGCTGCGGTGATGGTGAAAGTTTCGCTGGTTTGCAGGAAGGCGGGATCTCAGAAAGACCTGCAATGGTGCGATTAACGAGGAGCTTGGTATCAGAGAGGAATGATGTCAATGATGATGACGTCCCGAAGGCAGTAGCGAATTACAATTCATTCGGGAGTAGGGAACTACTACTGGGGCATGACAATTTGCATCGTCTCGCACCCCTTGGCGATGGAACAATGTCCAACACCACTGTGAGCACTGACGAAAATCGACTAATGCATCACGTACACTACCCCTGCTGTCAGGGACTTAGCACACTGACCATGGAGAGCGACGGCTTCGTGGATTATGGGAACCAAAATGTGAGGGAGTATGAGAGCATGGAACCCCACGTTCAACACGTCCCAGTTGAAAAAGGAATACATGCGAGTGAGTACGATGCCTTGCAATCAGTCCACTCAAACCTTGATGCGGGCATGCCACATGTTATGTTTCAAAGTGAAGGGATCTCCACATTGCATGAGCGGCGACACCATCGCCCTTACCACCAGAAGCAGGGTCATCATCCACCTGAACAACCGTTGTCTTTGTGCTTGGGGACTAAGTTGCGTTCCAATGCAACCTTACGATATAGGACTGGGACACCCAGGGTGGATTTTCGGCAAGCGTGGGAGCACCCACAGTTTCAAGAGCGGCATTCTCAACAAAAGCAAAAACGACAACGACAGTATATAAACGGACCTCAAGATGAAACCTCTCCAAGTGGGAAGACTGATGCATCACTTTTTCCAGCATTACCAACATTTAGCCCTACATCTTTTGTGCGCGCGTACGTTGGGGAGAGGAATTATCCATGGGAGGCGACATTGGATAACCGTCCTGCTCTCGTTGTCTCCTGCTGCGTGGCGGCAATGAACTGGATGGTGGTACAGTTTCTGCAGTATCACGTTCTTGAGACTCGTGATCAACTTGGCCTATTTGTGATTGGGACATATATTATATTCTCGACCTACTATATGACGTACTATTTTTTAGAGCGTTACTCACTCTCTTTTTCTCAGATATCTCATGATAAAAAGTTTTACACCATTGCCAATCTCATAAAAGCGGGAATTCTTGTCTCACTGGTTCCTTTTGCTATTTCACATCTTGGGAATATCATTATGTTTGACGTGTGGGACACCAATACACTTCGTAATCTGGGTTGCATTTACACTATTCCAGACTTTGTTTCTATGATTGTGGTGAATAAGATGAGTTGGTCTACGTGGATACACCATCTGTGTGTGTTGCTGTTTAACTTTTTTAGCACCATGAATGATTACTCGCAGGAAAACATCTGCCGCTGTGTTGTTGTCTATGCAGCCTTTTCGACGTTTGCGTACTGCGTTAACGTGCTACTCGCGTCGCGCTTTCTTGGCGTATCGCCCAACGTTGCACGTGTACTCTCATTTGTCGCCGTGGTGGTGTACTTTTTATGTTGTGCCACCAACTGGACCTGGCAAGTCTACTACCTGCGCAAGCTGCTGCGAGAGGGTCATGGGCACTGGACCGTCTACGCTTACATGCCTTTGATATGTCTAGTTATTTACGACGATATTATGTTGAATAAGTGGCTGATTCATAACGCTAAAAGCAATGCAGGTGCCGCAGCGAATTACAGGCAAAACCAACACAGGCAACAACAGCATCAACAGCACTCTGCAAGGGTTGTCCCTCGTGCATGAGGACGTCGTATGGATAGCCTTTGTGGTTTCTTCTTTTTCCTTCTTTTTTTCTTGACTTCCACACATCTCAATTGCGATGCTGTTCATTGTGGAGGGCTCGAAAGGTCCGATGTGTTCTTTTTTTTCCGAGTTGTTGTTGTTGTTGTTGTTGTTGTTTTTTTTTTTTTGTCGGCAGTATGTGAGCGTGTGAGTGAGTTTGTAACTGTTTTTCTTTTTATATTTAATTGTTTTTTTGACTCATTATTATTTGGTATGTGTTGGTGTGCATCTGTGTGAGAGAGCGAGAAAGTTCCTGGAACGTCTTTTTTTTTATTGTACTGTATTATACTAGCTTTTTGGGTGCTGGGTAGAGACCTCGTCAAGGCGAAAGCCGTGCTGTTTTGTTCTCCCCCAGTTCTTCTGTGCTGTGCGATTAGTTTTTTTTTTTGTTTGTTGTTGTTGTTGTTGCGTGCCTGTTGCCTTGCGTTCTCGTCGGGACTGCGCGTGTTTGGCGTTCTACTTTATGCATTGCTCCTTCTCCTGTTCTGCGCTATCTTCGCCGTGTGACACGGCTGCACCACACATTTATGTGCTCTTGCGGCAACGTGCGCTATGTATAACAATTTCTTGCATGAAGGGAGGGTCAGAGGTGGAGAAGGAAGAGTTTGAGGGTGACACACACGCACGCAAAGCAGCAGCAGCACCTAAAAAGAGACTTTATCGTTGATTGCATTCACTCTTCTCATGACGGAGCTTTTCACCACACGCGAGGCAGGCGCGGCGGGGGCTGGGGACCTACTGATCCCTTCGCTTGCCGCAGCTGGAAAGCTGAGGTGTAGAGCGTATTATCCATCTTTGCCTCCCACAGCGAAAACAACGGCTGCATCCATAGCAGCGTCTTTTCATGAGTCTCATGGTGCCGCATGCATTGACACGGATCCCCGCCACACCTGCAGTCTGTTGCTCAACGAGGAGGATGTCACGTTTCTTTTCGCTGCCATGACATGGAATGTGGATCTTCTGGAGGTGTTGCTAGCCAAGGCGGAGAATCCGCTTCACACCCACGGCATTCACAACAATCCGTCATATTCTTGGCAGCAACAGGCGGTATCTGCGACGGAGGAAACGCATGTCGCCACACTCGCCAAGGCGGTGTTTCCAACTCTTGAGGAGGCGCTTTTGACAGCCACTTCAACGACACGGGCGCGACCGAGAAACAAAAACTATACTTCCGGCGGTCATCACAGCCGTCGCAGCAAGCGGCGAAAAATTGGACGTGGTCGCGCAACACAGTTACGCGTCTACTCAACTTACCTGTACGAAGGCCCGGCGGAATACGATGGTGAGACCGAGGAGGATGAAGAAGAAGAAGTGGTGGCGGTGAAGAGCACAGGGCTCAATAAAGGCAGCAGAGAGAAGGAAGGCGCTTGCTCACAGATGCCATACGACGCCGACGCAGTCAGAGCGGCGGAAGAGGCGTATGATACGTACCTGACGGAGGAGGAAGAGTTTGACATGCTTCACACACCACATCGCCGTCTTGAACCACGCGACGGTCCTCATGATGCCGCTGTTTTCGAAACATTTGTTGGTACTGTTCCCACTGCCAATGAAACTGCTTCGCGGGCCACCATGCCATTGGAGGAAGAGATGGAGAGGAAAGCGCAGCAACCTTTTCCGGCTACCATGCGTGATTTTCTTCGGTTATTCTTTCAAAGCTTTCTTATTGTTGTGTGTGCCATGTTAAGATATCAAGAACAACATGCCCTGCATAGTCGCCCACCACGTTCACTTACTGCACTGGAATATCGTGCAATTTGTTTTGTGCGTCAACATCTTGCGGCGTTCAAAGGGATTATGCGTCGACATGTGATTGGGAGAGAGAACGAGGTGGAGCGGCGTGCAGCACAGTCACTTCTTGTTGACGCCTTCCAGTGTGACAAGGAGGGGGATGAGAACAAGTATGTGGATTGGAAACCATTATGCGCCCAAGTATATATTTCAGGGAGGGAGCCCGTGTCGCAACCGCTGCTTCTTGAGGTCCTTCGCATAACGCGGGTGCTGCAGTGTCATGCAAATCCACCTTCGAGTGACGTCCGTGATCCCCGATCCATTGGGAATGGCAAGGATATGGCCTTAAATTCGCTTTATTGCTGGCGTCGGCTTGTATTGGAGGGATTAGATGCAGGAATGAGCAACTTGCAAAGCGTGGATGAGGCATATTTACTCTTCGTCTGCAGCGAAGAGCGGGATTTGGCTCACGAGCTTTTCAGAAAGTGTCTCTCACCCTTGGTCTGGGAACCATATAGAACCATTGGTCCGTACACGGTCTATACCACAGAGCTTCCGTACTCAAAACGATTGATTGCCAAGCTGGTTCTTCCCGCCGAGGACCTGGAATCATATGATCTTTCTAAACACTTTCAGGAGGGCGTCTTCCGTTTTTTGCACGGTACTCCCTTCTTCCCTTTTGATGCTACACCGCTGTGTGGATCTCACGGCATGTCGCCACCCTCGCCTCGTGGCTGCTCCCTTGTGCATTGCTCGGCTGGGATGCACCGCTCTAGTGGAATAGCAATTGCGTATCTACTTTGGCTTGTGTTCTTGTCACACAGTAAACTCCCGGTTGTGCGAGAAGTTGGTGTTTCAGTGACAGCGAAGCGTGAGGAGGGGGAAGAAGAACAAAAACAGCGGCAACAACCCACCGTTTCATATCTTTCTGCCGTTCTTCGACATCGAGAGCCAGTTACAAGCTCCGCTGATACCATGGCCGCAGATACATCGGTGACAATGACACCCCCACTGCTACCAGCGGCTGTAGGAGATGTATGCGTAGATGTAGGAGGAGTTCACGTAGACAAATACGTGAAGAAGACAGACTTGCCGGCACACAAACCCACATCAGTTGTTGAAGTATGTATGGAGCACGTGCGCCGGCAGCGTTCCATGGCTGTTCCTATTCCTGCTGTGCAGGAGTATCTGCGACGGTATGCATGCTATCTTCGTCTTCAGTGAAACATGGGGGGTGGGGACGGTTCGGGGCGAAGGGAAACACGGACAAGTGAGCGAGGAATGACTTGATCTAAAAAAAAAATATTATTGAAATCACCCCCAGCAAGCCACATCTATCAAAAGACAAAGGGAGCTTACTATGATCGACTAAATTCCATGCGAGAACACGCATTACAAAACGACGGAAAAGGCAACAACAAAATTTGGGAAAGAGAAAACGAAGTGGTATTGCAGGGGAAACGCGTGTCGTTGTTTTTTTTTTTCTTATTGTTGACTTCACCTACTACTTTTTTTTCTTCATTATGAGGATTGTTATGGGCCTGGCTGGAATTTCTGCGCGCCCAGGCATTGTTCACCGCCATTGATTCAACAGGGGCTTGCAACTCGTGCGAGAGTGATTCCATCTCTGCATTTTTTCAGTAGAGACTCGCCAACTTTGTTTTTGTTTTATCGCTTTTCTTGCTATTTATTTTGTGACCGTGCAGTTTTCTTCCATCGCGGCATCGAGTCGGGGATTTAAAAGAAAAAAAATAAAATAAAAAGAACCGAGAAGAAAAAGCGAAGAAAAATATAGAATGGGGCGTGACAGCCGCGGGGATCGCTACGCCCGACGCGGCGATATCGTCTCTGACAGGCATGGCGTTGCCGAAAGCAGCGGCAGCGCCTCGAAGAATTCCACACGCTACGGGCGTTATGCCGGGAAACGGCGTTCACGTTCCCCGCAGAGCGGGCGGCGTGGTGCAAGCGAGGAGCGAGACAGTGACCGCTACCGGGGCAGGCGGCGTTCAAACAGTGAGGAGCAGCGGCGACGTCGGCACGGAACGGGCAGGGGCCGGTCAGGCAGCAAGGAGGTGACCAAGAAAGGCAGAGGACGCAGACGTTCACGATCACTGGAGTCGTCGTCATCTACCTCTAGCATGTCGAGAAGAGGCGGTGGTGGTCGAAAACGCTTTGAGGCAGTAGATATGCGGGAGCTTCTACAGCCTGAGACGCCGACAGCTGCCGGTGGAACAGCGGCACCGTTGCCTGCCGAGATGATAATGGCTCTCATTCAACAACAACAGCAGCAGATGCTGTTTCAGCATCAGGACGCAGTGACATCTGTAAGAGACGTTGTGATGCCTACACCAGATCCAACAGCTGCACCGGAGCCAGCACCGGTAGTACCAGCAGCTCCAGCCAATGTTGATACCACCAACGAGGCTCAGCAGTATCAGCAGCAACCTCAGCAAGGGGGAGAAAAAAGAGAGGCGAACGAGGAGTCTGTGTCCAGGCCAGAAGTTCCATCGAGGGTGTTACCTTCTGTGGCAGATTTTGTTCCGGTTATTCCAAAGAGTTTGTTGAGTCTTCTCAGTGCCCCGGGGGCCGCCAATAATGACGGTAGTAGTCATGGTGGTGGTGGTGGTGGCGGTGGGTTGCCGGGCGCAAACGCCGGTGGTGAAGCCGAGGATGGACAACAAGGAGCATTGATGACGACGACAGGCGCCTTAGCTGTTCTTCAGGCACCAAAGCTTTCACCAGAGGCAGAGCGGCGTGCTCGCGAGGCACGTCGGGCGCATATCTCTTGTTTTCCTCAAGGCACCACCCGGCAGGAGTTGTTGGACTACTTTACTACCATTATTCCCATGGTGCGTCGTGTGAAGGTGCAGAAGGAGATGGATCGGTTTACTGAGATATTGCGTGAGGAAGGAGGTCCAAAGGCGGATATAGAGCGTCGTGAAATCCCACCGGACGCCATTGTGGATGTGGATCATGTAATTGATCTTGCAGTAAACAGTGCAAAGTCGAAACCATTTGCCTTTCTTGAGGTCAATCTGGCAGATCTTGTGACGGAGTTGGTGGAGGAATCACAGCGTGATCCAGAGCGGTTTACTTTCATTGCTGCCGACGGACAATCGTACCCTATCACAATTCGTCGACCACGGGATTACCAAGCCTTGGCAGGTGTCGACAACCGCAAGGTTGTCATGCTTGGGTTTCCATCCACGCTTTCAATGCAGAAGTTGAGGATGGCTTTTGAGGAATTTGGGCCGCTTCTTGCTTTTGACGTGAAAGCGGGAATGGCCTACGGTGAATTTGAAAAGGAGTCTGATGCGATCGATTTCGTTGGCGACCTTCACGGCCAAACACTTGGAACAAACGTGGTGGTGCTGATGCCCCTGTACGACTGGCTGAAGGTGGTGTGCACGCACGCCGACATTGACGTCGCGCTTGACCCCGATGACCCAGTCTCGGGTGCATCCCTCCTGGCCAAGGATGGTCAGGTAGCTGGCGCACTGGTGCCTGTGCTTGCCGAGGACGTTGAGAGGACGGAGGAGCCGGTGAACCACATGAAGGAATTGGTGGAATTTGCCGTACAGTTGCCTGACGTCGTTCTGCACTTTGCTAAGACGTTTCCTCACCTTGCAACGCTATACGGCAGCACCGTTCCTATTTACCCCACTCGTGTCTTAGTGTTGTTGAACTTGTTCGATGAGGAGGAGCTTGTGCTCGACGATACGTACGAGCGGCTTGTGGACGAAATCTCCGGCGAGGTGGAGAAGTACGGTCGCGTGAAGACGCTCATTGTCCCTCGTCGTGCTCCACCTCCGATTCCACCCAAGCCGCCTAAGAATTACTTTGGATCCCGGATAAACATGTCTAAGAAAAGTGGCGGTGGGGGTGGCCGTGATCGTCGCCAGAAGCTCAGTCAGGGCGCTGGTGGTGCGTCATCGGCGGCGCTCTACGTGCCTCGCGACGGTGCTCCACCGCTTAAGACAGAGAATGAGGAGGGTGGGGCACTCGGGAGGAATGATTTTGACATGGATTACGTCGACGAAGAAGCGCAGTACGAGCAGGCCAAAGTAGAGTACCTTAGGGCACGCGAGGAGTACACTGAAAGACTTGTGCACCCAATTCACGGTGGGTTTGGTCGTGTATTTGTTGAGTATGAATCTGTTGATGAGGCAGCAGAAGCTCAACGCGCGATTGCTGGTCGTTTGTTTGGTGGACGCACTATTGTGACCTCATTTATGTTTGAAGACGTGCTACACCCGCCCACTGCTGAGGAGATGGAGGTGGAGGCAGACAAGAAGCTTCAGCTGTACTTGGAGTCCATGGGCGCTGGCAGTGACGACGGAGAGGCGCAACCAGAAGAGGTGACGGCGGCCAATGACACAGTGGACGACAGGGAAACCGCCCAGGTTGGAAATGGGATTGGTGAGGTGGAGGCGTCGAGTTAAAGGGCCTGGCACCGAAGCGTCGTGTCTTGTTTTTTGTTTGTGTGTTGCTTGTCGTATTTGCTATAAGCCTCACACACACAGACAAAGAGGAAGAAAGATAGTGAAAAAAAAGAAAAGAAACGACGCGGGGTGCCTACAATCAAGAGAGAACAGGCAGAAACCGAGGGAACGCAAGGCAACCCCGTGTAGGAATAAAGACATCACAGGGCGCGCATTACACATTGGAAGTGAGGTTGGCGGAGTAGGCTTGGAACACCGGAGGCAGGTCAAATAGAACGCGGTAAAACAATACAAAAAAGAAAAAGAGGAAGAATATTGAAAGTGTGAGAAACTTTTTTTTTTTCTCTCTTTTAATCCGTTTGCATGTTTGCAGTTTTCTGTGTCTGTCGGAAGGCAAGAAGGCACTCGTTTGACGTGCCTTACGTGCATGCTCTGATTCTTGTTCCCGCTGTTTGTGCTTGCCGTATTTCCCACTCCCTGTTGAAGATTTTGCTCTTTCGCCGCGAGACTTCTATTTGTCTTTGCGTTCCTGACTAACGGCCCATTCTTTTTTTTTTTTTGCCTTTTTTCCTCTTTGAAATCCACTTGACTCTTCAGCTGTTCCAGCACATTCCCACCCAATTGTCCACACATCTCTGCGGGAGGAAAAAGCAAGGGGAGGACAAAAACGCGAAAGGGAGGAGGAACATAAAAAGATGTTGTTCGCTTCTGGCCGACTTTGGCGCGTCAGGCGCTCTGTGGTACTGCAGTTGATGCGGGAGAGCCGTGATGTGTTGGACACGGCAGCTATAAAAGGCAGCAGCCAACAGTTCAAAAATGTTGCTGGAAACAATGATAACAACGATGAAGGGGTATTGTTGCGCCCCTACGCCGAAGGGACGTCTCGAAAAGGTCGATTGAGGCCGCGTGATGCGCGTGGCAAAAAGGGAGAGGAAGCCAAAAATTCGATGTCCCAACAGTTACACGACGGGGGTAAAGAAAGTCCAGTATCTATGAGTTTGCCTACCACGCTGGCAAACGGAACGGTGGTCTTCTTATCAACAGCTGCACCCCACTCTGAAGAAGGTTCATCCGTGGCTCGTTCTCTTGAAGCTCATCGGTGGCTTGCTGCGGAGACGCAACGTCATCATATGCAAGCGAATGAGTCAGTTGCCTCAGGTGCCGCGCACGTGGCCCATGAGAGGATTGAACGTCGGCGGAAAAAATGGTCGCTCACGGAGGTGGAGTTTGATGTTGGTATCACAGAGCGTTTGTTTCCCGAAATACGCCGCTTGCCGGCGCTGCACGAGTTGCATTACGGGGATGCCTTGATGCGAGAGGTGGACGCCGCGTCATACTTTGCTGCCAAGCAGGGTGGGCACAGCAGCAGGAAGCTGGAGAAGGATGACAAGGTGGCCGAGGTGCCACTCACGGATGCGGACTTTTTGTCATTTGAGGAGCAAGATTTGCTCCGGCAGCCCGCACTCACCGCCCCTTCATTGCCCTCCACGGTATCACCAGCGTTGGGTGCGAGTGACGGTCCTTCTCCTGCGGAAAAGCAACAAAAACAACTGTCCCACGAATTATCGTCGTGTAAGCTTGCGAGTGAAGACCGAGGCGTGATGCATGGTACTCAAACACCATGGTTTGTCCCAGAAGGCGGGGTAGTGCGGCTTGAACCACTCTCATCCTCGAATGCGCTGTGCCTCTTGCGCTTTGTACTACATCTCCGTCAACAGACACCTCAGCATCTCCCACTCGCTGTTCAGAAACGGATGAAAAAGGAGGAGGCTCTGCAAGCCGCACCATTGAAGAATAAAAACAAGGGTGAAAAGTATCTCTCCTTGGAGGATGTCATGCTATACCTAGACACGGCTCCTCCGCCTATTCTTGGGTTCACAGAAAATCTCCCACCCACCAAAAGCCCAGCTTTTGTGTTTGTTCTGTATACGGAGAACGTCTCCCTGCAGAATGCCATTGGACACATGGCGGCACTTTTTAATATTCCGCAGCGTGCGTTTCATACATGTACTGCGGTATCGAAAATGTCATGTGGAACTGTTCTTTGTGCGGTGAGTCCTAACCATTTGACACTTGAGCATTTGTTGTTACTAAACACGATGCGTCATCCGGGATTTGTATTGCGTGTTGGATCGATTCGTGCTGTTGAAGATGAGACGGCTTCTGCGTCTCTCTTTGGCGATTTGTCTCTTTGGCAGCCACTGAATGAGGTAGAAATACTACTACGTCGTGTGAGCTGTGGTAGCCGTCAAGAGCTTGAGCACCGGCTACGAGCTGTGCAGGAGGTGGGTGCAATATTTTTTTGCGCCAACCGCGAGGCATCCTTGGTGCGCGCCGCCACGGATGTGCTTCATGGATTTTTCAAGTCGGCACTTCTAAACGCCCTTCACCGGCGAAATGCTCCAATGGCGATGCGTCATTTCTTATCACGGCCAAATCTCATCACTGCAGCACGGGCAAGACGAGCCTCCACCGACGCCACTGTGCGTCAGGTGCTCAAGAACTACATTCTTGTTGGAGGGGATTGGGCACAGACGGTTGCACGAACGCCGTATGTATGGCGACGGCGATGGTTGAATGCTCTCCGTTGTTCTGTTTGGAATATGATGGCGTCGCGGCGTCTGCGTCATGGCGGACGTCGTGTACTGCCGGGTGATGTCGTGCTGCGCCCGGAGTACCGCGCGGATGTCCATTGTCGCATGCTGACAACAGTAAAGGCAGAACATGTTATGTTGGTGGCTGATGAAGCTGCGGCAGCGGAGTGTAGCATGGAGGATGTCTTTATTCCGTTTCTTCGCGGCGTGTATCCTCCCGAACTTTTTGCACCTGAAACGACGCAGCACCCAATTATGACGCAGGCCAACATGCTGGCACTACTTCGTGAGGCACACGCCCCACAGCTGCTGCTTGGCATGAACGATACCTGCCGTTCATTACTTGATAGTCGCAGCGAGTCCTCTCCGTTATTGTTCCGCCGCCTTATTATTCGTCCCGTTGAGATGAGCTTTAGTATTCTTGAGGACAAGCCTCCAATGAAATCCATTCACTTTGACGCTGCTCGTGTGCTTGAGAGTGATCGATTGTGTTTGCAGTCCCCGATGCTTCCTGGAAGATCAAGAGAAGAAAAAGCCTCACACTCTTCAGGTGATAAGGCCACCAACAAACTTACTTTGGGCCCATCACTTGTGCGTCAGTCTCTCGTCCTGGAGCGTACGACTATCGGGGCACGGCTGTCTTCAGGCTTACTTGCCGAGGAATTTTTCGCGCCACCAGCACGTGATGAGTACGTGGCTCTTGGGCATGTGGAGCGGCACTTGAACGGCAATCTTGTCCTTGCCCCTCCGCGCGCCAACGACGAGGCGCTAAAAACGATTGATTGCCTCTTCACGATTCATGTGCATGCAGTTGTGCGAAACGGATTGGCCGCATTGGGACACATGTTACGTGAATACTTTATTCTTTCAGGCGTGGAGCGTGAAGAGGACAGCGCCCTGCAGCATAAAATTCACCGCGTGCGTCGAGAGCTGGATAGCGAGACACCATGGCTAACTAGTTCTACATTTTGCAAGGCGTGTTACTGCCGCGATCATGATGCGTTGGAGTCGTGCGCCGAGTATCAATTTAAGCGAAGCAAACACGAAGGTGCGAAGAGGCGAGCTGAGGTCCTACAGGAATTGGCATCTGCCGACACGTCGGCGTTGCTGCCACCTTCTGCTACGAATGGAATGGAGCCGGGTGGGGTTGCGGTGACGCCGGTCGAGAAAATGGAAGGTGATATGGTTTTAGAGCTGGAACTGCGGCTGCGACGTCGATCGGAGGAACAAAAGTGGGGGGTTCACCTCACTTCTGCCCTTCACCTTTCGGCTATTGACGATGTAAGTGTGCTGTCAGAGGGACGGATTCGCTGGGGTTCAAAAGCCGCCTCCCAACTGGCCCTTCAGAAGGGCTTCTGGAAGGTATTTTGGGGGAAACATCAGCAGGATGACGGTGCAAAAAACCAAGGCGATGAGGCAAGTTTGCAATTGGTGGCCCTCTCACATTTTATTCTGAAGGCCATGGGTACAACAGAGAGTTTGCTCCACGCCGGCGATGGTGAGCATTGTTTGCCATATATAAATACAAATGAAGGTTTGCCACTTCCTCAACTTCCTGACGCGTTTTCACCGCCGCGGTCACAGCTACCTGATGGAGACGTTGGTATGGAGTCCACCTCGACAGATGAAGCTGTAAAGTCCCGCAAGTTACTTAGGCAATGTAAGTGGGTCTTGACCAGCATCAATGACACTACAGTGACGGGGCGTCGTCAAGTGGCTGCCGTGTTTGTGCGACTGGGAAAACAGCGAGATGTATCGCTTAGGTTTAGTGCCACTCTTCAAAGGTGTGGTGGACTGGAGACGTCTTGTCGCAATGCTGCTGAAACGCTCCCACAGATTATTGAACTTACACTGACTCGAGTGAGCAAAGGCAGGGGGGGATGGGGCTTGAAATTTGATTGTGATTCTCTGACACTACTGAATCTTGCTCATCTGCTTCATGCGCATGGGTCATCTGGGGTGACGGCGGTCGTTGAGCCGCCGTTATTGACAGCTGTTGCCGCAGCTGAGACGCTGGATGGCAAATACATGTTAAACCGTGTCAACGGTGAGGTGGTGGGCACGCAATGCGAAGTATTGGAACGTTTACGGAGACTAAAAGGTTGTGGAGAGGACAAGGTATTACGGTTGCAGCTTGTCTTGCGTAGCCAAGGAAACAACGGAGAGGACGCCAGACATCCAGCAAGTGAGGTGGCAGCGGTGGTGAGTTGTTCTGCTGCGGTGGGGACTATGGAGAGGGGAAGAAGCGGGTGCAGTGTCGTCTCGCCTCAGGAAGGCGGAGTGGTCGAGGCTGACAGGGGCAAAAAAGAAGAGGATACGGCGCTGGCGGTGGCTCCACCATCGTGTAGTCCACAATGTGTTCCGCTGACACCGGAGCAGCGTAAACGTAGCGTTGTCACTATTGTTATCAACCGCCGAGCTGATGCTCCGTCGGGGCGATGGGGAATTCGAGTCCGGCGCGGGACGCTGCGATTGCAACGTATTCACAGCAACCATGAGTTTTCCTTTCAGGTCTACGCAGCGAAGCGTCAGCAAGCTGTGCGCATCGCAGATACATTACGATTTAATAACACACGACGGCGGGACAACGGCCAACACAATACGACCACGGGGGCGACAGTGGCTACGACTGAAGCTGACGCTGCGTTTTACTCTCACTTTGTGTATATCATTGTTGGCGTTAATCACCGCCAGGTTGCAAACTGTGAGGAGTTGCGGGCGTTACTTGCGGCGGCGGCTCGTTCTGCAGATGAATCAGTTGTGCTTCAGGTGCAACAGTACCGTCTAGCTCAAATAGCTGTTCGCATTCTGCGTGGCGGCGGCGACGGAGACGGAGAGGCGGCCTTTGAGTCGGTTGGGTTTCGAATTTCACGCGACATGGTGGTTGAGTCGGTTAAGGCAGGAGGCCCGATGGCACGCGCAATCCTAGCTGCCACATACGATGGGTGCTCACTGCGTCGTCTTATTAACAACAGTTGTCCTCCTATGGTTGCCGCCGGTGAGCTGGAAACAGGGGGCGTTGCAAAACCATCCGCCAGTTCCTCTTCCGTGTCGAAGGGTGCAAGATGGAACTTTGATCTTGACGAAGACACGCAGAAGCAGACGGGTTCATCGACGTCGGTAAAAGTTGAAGCGACGGCAAGGGATGCTGCGGCACCCTGCAGCAGTGTACCGCCTGCGTACTGGAACATGGTGGACGGTGCCACCTTGATCTCTCTCTGCGGAGAGGGTGATTCGACACGATTTGTCTGGCGGGTCTTGTACGGGGTGCGGGCCGGAACATTGAGGACGCCGCAGGATTTGGCGCGGGCCCTCGCCGCGGATGTGAGGGAGGAAACACTCTTCTTGCAGCAGTGTTTGCTCGATGACTGAAGCGGAAGGCCAATACGCAGAGAGAAAGAGAGGGAGAGTCACAGGAATGCTCAGAAAAAAAAAAACGCTGTGGGTGGGGGCAGATAAACAATGTGGAAGGGCCGCTTCAGCAAAAGGAAGTAGACATTTTGTGCCATTTGCAATGACCGGCATGGAGCCTTGACTTTTTTTTTTGTCTGTTTTTGTCTCTTGTATATTCCTTTCACTCTCTCTTTCTTCTGTTGACGCCGCTGAGGGGCAATTAATTTCACCGAATCGGAAGAGGAACTTATTCGTATTCTTTACAGGAATCTGCCTGCCCAATACACTGATAGTTCGTTGCAATGGATCTCTCATTGGCCGATGGTGCCACGTTTGCAATGTCCGAGACGAGGCTGTGGAGTAGGGAGAGACATGGAGAGAGCGGAGGATAGGTTGCGGCTGCCTAACTGAAAGAAACTAGTGGTAGAGGGAAGTTCGTAATCCACATGGGAAGTTTGAGACGTGGGAGCATCTCCGCAACTTTCTCTTCCTTCTTACAGAGTGGTTTCCTTCTCTCTCTCTCTCTCTCCCCCCCCTACCCCCTGTCTTTGCTTTCTATTTTTTGTTGGATTTTTATTCGTTTGCTTATCATTCTTTCTATTTCGTATGCCTTATTTTGTAGCAGGGTAGCAGTTTGTTAGGGCACAGGTGCAATTCTTTTTTATTATCCTTTTGTGTCAATTTTCACTTAAGGTTTGACGCTGACCCGATACTCAGATGCAACAGCAGTTGGGGTACTACGCAAACCCCGAGAGGGAGGAGCTGTGGCAGGAAGTCATCAATAAAACGGCACTTCGCAACGCCGCACAGGAACGTCTACGGGGGCTGATGCGGGAGGTAAAGGCGAAGCAAGAGGAGCTGGAGCAGGTGCAGGATCAGATCAGTGCTCTTTTGAGCATTGGGCAGTATGTGGGTGAGATACTTCGACAGGTAGATGAGGAACGTTACATTGTGCAAAGTATCTCAGGCGCGCGCCATCTTGTTGGGTACAAAAAAAGCATCAAACCAGAGAAATTGAAATTTGGCACCCGCGTGGCTTTAGAGATTACCACCCTGACCATTGTTAAGGTGCTGCCGCGTGCGGTCGATCCTCAGGTCTACAACATGCAAATTATGGGGGATGATAAAAATGTTTCCTTCCAAGAAATTGGAGGGCTACAAGAGCAAATGCGTCAGATGCGCGAGGTGGTGGAGTTGCCCCTGACAAACCCGGAACTCTTTTTGCGCGTGGGTATCACGCCCCCAAAAGGAGTTTTGCTTTACGGACCTCCTGGAACCGGTAAGACACTTCTTGCAAAGGCGATTGCGTCAAACGTGGATGCCTCTTTTTTAAAGGTTGTGGCCTCCTCAATTGTTGACAAATACATTGGTGAATCGGCCCGTGTTGTGCGTGAAATGTTTGCCTACGCACGGGAACACGAGCCCTGCATCATCTTTATTGATGAGGTGGATGCGATTGGTGGAAAGCGCATTGATGGTACTTCTTCTGATCGGGAAATTCAACGTACCCTGATGGAGCTGCTGCACCAGTTGGATGGCTTTGAAAAGCTTGGTAAGGTAAAGGTGATTATGGCAACGAACCGACCTGACACCCTTGATTTGGCGCTCATGCGACCTGGACGTCTTGACCGCAAAATTGAAATTGGTCTACCGAATGAAGCAGGCCGGCTGGATGTATTAAAGATTCATGCATCGAAGCTTACCAAACAGGGTGACATTGACTACGATTCTCTCGTGAAACTCTCAGAGGGATTCAATGGGGCTGACTTACGTAATGTGTGCACTGAAGCCGGGATGTTTGCTCTCCGCGCAGGTAGGGATTATGTGATCAATGAGGACTTCAACAAGGCTACGAGGAAGGTCGCTGAGTCAAAAAAGCTAGAGGGTGTCCCGCATCAGTACGCTGAACAGTAAGCCACAGAGCGAGAGAGTGACAGACGTGAAAGGGAGTGAGAAGGCGTGCGATACGAAAGGCAGTGCCAGGGAAGGCGGAGGAGGAGGAGGAGGAGGAGGAGGGGAGAATGCGTAACGATGAAAGGAAGTTTTCACATGTACCACTAGTGGACTGAAGGGTTCTGAGGCCCTTATTACTGTTACTGTTATCTTGTGTGCACGTGTGTGTGTGCTTGTTTTTGTTCTTCGTTTTTTATTTATTTTTTTGCCTTCTTCCTTTTGTACCCCACTCCCCACCCTTGGCGGTTTCTCCTGCTTCCTTCATTTTATTGGTGTTGAACGTTCAATATATACTCCTTGCATTTCGCCGCGCTCGCTGCTCCGTCTTGGTTTATCCTGTCATTGTCTCTTGTGCCTGCGTCATGTCACTTTACTCCTTCTTGCTCCCCTTTTGTGCGGTTTTTCTTACTTCTGCTCCACCCCCACCCCCCATCCCCCCCTTTTGTGTGTGTGTATGTATGTGTTGCCTGGTGTAGTAGTGGGTAGGCTTCTAGTAAGTGCCTGCAGTGTTACTGTGCCAGCCCGTAGGGACACGCATGAGGGGTGGTACCAGTTTGTTCTTCGCTGTTGTTGTCTTCAGCGTGCTGTTGTGTCTTCCCGCGGCGGCGCGATCTTTGACTCAGCGCGAGTTTGAGTTTGAATTATGGCCAACGCCGAAATTTTTACAGCAGACAGTAGGTTGCGGTCTGCAGAAGCAATGGTTCGTTCTGAATGAGCAAGGTCGACCCTTTTCTATCGCTAGTGAAGGACACATCAAACTAAATGTGACCTCTATCGCCTATGACGTGACCGCACTCAGAGGATATTTGGAACGCCTTTTGCATGAGAGCAAACCAGGCGAAGTCTCTAGACACATTACTTGTTTATTATTCACGCAGCCTCGTCTTTTTCGTGTTACGCAACAAATGAAAAGCATAAGTGACACTGAAAGCAAGTTTGCGTTGAATGCAAGTATTGAGGAGTTTTTGGATGAATACTCTATGTTATGGGATGCCGTTTTAATGCTTAAGGTTTTTGTTTATGGTGACTGGCTACAATTGATTAAAAAGACCAAAACAGCTGCTGAAGAATCCATTGATGACTTAGGGGACTTGTCAGAAGCGGAACTAGATGCGTCTACTAAAGAGACAATGCGTACAACACAGAGAATATGTACTGCTCCAGCGCTTCTTACGGAGTATATTGACGTTGCCGATGCCTTCCACGTCACTATGCACAGGATCCAAATGCAAAGCCAGACCCCTGTCATTGCTATTCTCGTGCAGTGTAGTTATATACCTTTAAATTTGAAACTCACGTTTCATATGTCAAATACAAATGGAAGAGGAAGCGCAGAGCATATATCCACTGAGTGCATGTATTTGGTGTTCTTTATAGCGTACATTGTGTTATTTGCAATTTTGTTGTTTTTAATTATACCATGCGGAACCTCATGCACCACATCTTCTGCCATATCCTCAGCAAGCGCAAGTGATGAAGACAGGCCTGCTGTCCCCAGAAGCTCTCTAAACGTGGGTAGTGCTACTAGAATGGATAACGCCAATGCCATGGAGGAGAGTGCGAAAGTAGCTTCAAAATATCTGGAAGAGAAAGAGGATACGTTGAATCTGGCACATTTGGACAGAATGCAGGAAACACTGACAGGAGTTGAAACTACAAACTCACCGGTTACCACTTCATCACCTACACATCAATCTTTCAGGGCCTGCCGCAAGCTCTTTTGTGCTAAAACAAGGCATGCATGTAGTCTGTATTTGTTGATTTTGTATCCACCATTACAGTGGCTTGTCCTTGCTTGCCTCATACTAGGAGGAGCATTTTGTCTACTGGAGTTAATACGGTATCGTGCCCTTGTGGAATACCCAGAGAATTTATCAGAAAGTTACATTGGTATAGTTTCCATTTTTGTTTCTGTAGCTTCCCGTACGGCAGTGTTTGTGATGCAACAGTTTGTATGTATAGGCTGGGGTTGTGCCTATCAGCGGCCTCCGACGATAAAGCTTGTCACCGCCTGTTTGGCCTCCGTCATTACATTCTTTGCCTATGTATTCAATGGAAGTTGCAAGGGCGGCGGATTTTCAGTAATATATTCTTTGTACGACAAAGACACAAATGTTGGTGTTCGTTGCTCGACGATTCAGACTGTTGTTGTGGCCTGTGAGTTGTTGGGTTGGGTGCTAAATCTTTTTCAACTTACTACACTGATGGCAACCATTGGCCGTGCTGCAATGAAAGGGTCACCACGACGAAGGCCAAGTTTTCATGGTGAACTAACTTCCCTCTATCTGCGCTACCGTAGCATGTGCGTGCCGTATGCGTTGGGCATGCTTTTACCACAAGTACTTTTTATTGTTTTCTCTAATACCCTTATGGGTCTTGAAGATCATTACGTTGAAGTTGCACTTCGGGAATTTTCGCAGTGGTACCCGTTGGCGTTTGTCCTCATTTTCTTACGAAAGGAACCCTTCTACTTCTGAGTGGAAGGAAATCGACTAGGACAGACAAGATATATATATATATATAAATGTCAAGAACGAACATCACGGAGCATCAACAGCAATACACAAGAGAAAACGTTATTTATTCTTATGCCCTATGTGCCTTTTTTTTTGTCCTTCATCATTTGCGTAGTTGTTTAATTGATTCCTTCCAATATCTCCATGTATGTTTTTGTTTTTTCCCCCTGTGTGTGAGAGGGAGCTTGATCTTCAGGGGTAGTTTAGTTACCATGTATTTCACCTTTTGTAGACGTACAACAACAGATGCGGATTGTTATTCCCCTATGCTTTCACTGAAGTAACACATATCCAATAGCTTACAAAGACATACATCTGGTACCGGTGGCGGTGCGGGAAAAAGACTTGGACTACTAGGAGTGATTTGTGGGTACTTTTATTGCGTATTAAAAAAAAAAATGCAGGTTGAGGTCCCGAACTACGGCCCGGCTGAGGTCCTTCGTCTTACTTCTGCATGCAAATGCGAACCCGACAGAACCGTGCTTGGGGAGGATGAGGTACTCGTACACAACACATATGCGGGTGTCAATTTTATTGACACTTACTTTCGAACAGGTCTTTACAAAAAGCCCCATCTTCCGTTTGTTCCAGGTGAAGAGGGCGTGGGAACTGTTGTCAAGAAGGGGGTAAAAGTGCTTTCTCCTGACGTTGGTCAACGTGTGGCCTACTATGGCACTGTAACTGGCTCCTACGCAACGTACACTGTTGTAAAGAGTGCGAATACGGAGGTGCTGCCAGATGGCGTCGCCGACAAGGCAGGTGCAGCGCTTATGTGTCAAGGTCTAACAGCGCACTACCTCACACACGACAGTTACCCTTGTGGGCCTCACTCACGCGTTCTCGTTCACGCCGCCGCAGGTGGTACAGGGTTGCTCGTGTGTCAAATGGCCAAACTCCGCGGCGCTTTTGTCGTTGGCATCTGCGGCGGGAGCGAGAAGGCAGAACTCGCGCGCAACGTTGGCCGCGCCGATCATGTTGTGGATTACCTGGCCTTTCCGGACTGGGCGGTGGAGGTGCGTAAGTTGGTGCCCGGTGGCTTTGATGCCGTTTACGATGGGGTGGGAAAGAAAACGTTTGAAGGAAGCCTCTCTGTATTACGCCCACGTGGATACATGATTTCGTTTGGTAACGCAAGTGGTGCCGTTGAGGCGGTGACGCCGCTCCGACTTAAAGATGCTGGAAGTGTTTATTTGCAGCGGCCATTCCTCGGTGATTTTATTTGTGATCCTGAAGAAAAGAAGCGGCGCGTTGCAGATTTGTGGAATTGGGTCGCCTCCAACAAACTACAGGTGGTATACGGCCAGGAATTTCCCATGGCGAGGGCTGCCGAGGCGCACCGTTACTTGGAGAGTCGCATGTCTACTGGCAAAGTTCTGCTCTGTTGCAGTTCCACAGGGAAGTAACGTGGACACGATTGACAGTGAGGTCGTGGTGTCACTGTGAACGCGACTCTGGAAGGTCAATGGTTAATTGGACAGAGCCCTTATTATTATTGTTTGATTTTTGGTGGGGACATGTGGGAAAATACGTCTGGAATACAGCTTCAGGAGAGAACAAAGCGACGAGAGACATGATTGAATGGGTGCAAAGGAGCAGGCAAGCACAAAGAAAGTTTGGGGCAAATAAAGGGGGCGATGCAGCTAAAATTAAGGGTTGTCGCGAAGCGACGTACTTGGTATTCCATTATATATACATCTATACAAAATGTATTAATTTGTGTATGTTATTATTATTATTAGTCTGTATTTTACGTGGGGCCCTTGTTGTTGTGAGAGTCTGTAATACGCAAAGAAATTCCTTATTGTTGGCTGAGTTTTGTGTGTCAGTCTACATTTTTTTTTTTGGTGGTGTATGTAAAGTATACCACGTGTGCATCGGCATTGAGGGAGGAACAGGCAGGCATGCGTGCGTGCGTTCACGGGTGGGGGAATGAACTTTTATTTTGTCTTGTGGGAAGAGGGCGAAAAATGGGGCTGTTGCTTTTTTAATTTTAATTTTTGTCTTGCTGTTGTTGGCATGCGCTCTAGTCTTAGAGGGTGTTTGGGAACCTCTTTTAAAAACCACCACAACTGTAGTAATAAGAGAGGGAGGGGTCTGGACAAGTTTTGACAAACAGAAAAAAACAAAAAAAACAAAGTTCACCTTTACAGTGAGGTTTTCTTAGAGCGTTTATCACGAGCTCACTCGCGGCTGCGTAAGATTTCATGTTTTCTCAAAGAGCGAGGGTGTCAGACAATGAACCTCCCTCTCCAGTCACGAATGATATTCCTGATGGCTGGGAGCTTGTACCCACCCCGGAGGACTCCTGCTCCATCCTGAGCCGGAATGTAAACCCATGTAATGCACTAATTACAAAGTTGCAAAGCTATGAAGAGCAAGAACCCCATATGAGGGACACAGAAATGACCGTCAACGAGGCGATAAAGCAGGAAGATATAACCAGGCACATTATTTCTTTTCCCAAGTTGAGCACACGATGGCAGGAGTCCTATAGTGCCTCAAGCTTTGATAGCGATGAATCTTCATTGAATTGTGACATCTTGTTGCGTGATAGAACACGTTCAAGTGCCACTGCTGCAGAAGAAATACTTGGGCAACAGTTTGAAGACAGTGACTTGCTTCCACTTCCGTCCTCAACGCGTCCTTCATCTGCTGCTTTCAAGAGAAATTTATTTTCTCCCAAACATGACGCGGACACCAGCATTCATGATCAATTATCGCATGCTTGTTCTTTCATCATTTGTTTTTTGAGCAATGGCACGTACAGTTTTATTTGTTTGTGTACTTCTACGCTGCGAAAGTATTGGGCAGCTTTTTGCAACATGATGACCCTTAGTAACGCCACTTATTGTTGTGTTTTTGCAGCAACAACTGTATTGGTAGTTGAGTTTGGGGCTTTAGTAACGCTGAGGTCATCCAACGAGAATACTCGTTGTTGCCTGCCCAGAGTGGCTTTCAGAGCATCTCAGTTGGTCTGCGTCTTAATGTCGGTCGTAGGGCCGCTACTTCGTCTTGGTGAGAAGCTGTTGGGCGCACTTTTTCACTACCCTGCGACGACACCGTGCCCCCAGTCAGGGGAAGAGAGACTCGAAAAAACGGGAAAAGGTGACAGGGAAACGAGGGAGGGGAAGGCGCAGGTACACGAGGCGCAGTGTTTGACACTTTTGAAAACTATTCTTTCCTCTCTACTAAAGTTTGTTCTGCTCACAAATGAGGGTGAAGGCACCACTGTAAAAAGAGAAACGCCTGCTGATGACGAAGATACCACAATAAATGAAACCAATGAACCCACAGCTCACCGTGAAGGAGATATAAGGTCATCTTCAGGGGAGGAACGGATTCGCATAATTTTGTTGCTGTTGATTGGTGTTGGCGGGGGTGTGATGTCTCAGTACGTGCTCGTGTGGTGTTCCTGAAGGAATGCGCATGCCCTGGAGCGAAGTTCTAGAGAAGGGCTAGTAAGAGCGACGGAGATAGGAAAACAAAAAAGAGTTTATATATATGTATATATAAACGTATATATCTGATTATTATTAGCAAACGGGGCTGAGGAAGCCGTGTGTAGAACAGAACATCACCACAGTTGCGAAAGCTAGAGGTGCGCGGAACGGAAGGGGAGTTCATGTCATGGTGGGGGTGAGGAAGGCAAACAACAAGGTTATTACATCTTTTATGCATACGGGAGTGGGTCAGGATGATATTGTTGGCGCTGAGTAGTGGGTGGTGGGGGATGCCAGGACGGAAATGAAGGGAAATACATTTAACAATGGAAAGGAATAAAATATCGCTAAGAAGAAGAAACAATGAGAAGTGGTTGATGATACCTATATTGTTCAAGGTTGTTTTGTTTGTACTTGTTTTTGGGTGCATCCAAAACATGCCGCAACACATGTTACAAAATGCAGACATGTTTGTGCAAGTGTCTCTCTGTTTTCCCTGCTATGCTTCCACGGTGAGGAAAAAATAATATATGTATAATATATGTGTATATCTACATATACATTTGTTTTGTTTTTATTTTGCATGTGTGTGTGTTTGCTTGTTCTCTCGCGGAGGAGGTCTAGTTTTTAGTTACAAGTTGTGTGTTAAAAGAAACGAATTGCTGTAAAGACAAAATAAAGAAGTTTTAGTTGTATGCTGCTTGTTGATTGTTGATTGTTGTTGTTGTTGTGTCTCCTCACTTTTTGCTTTTTTTTTTCAGCGTTTTGCGCGTGTTTGTATGTGCGCCAAGACACTTCGGAGCCGCCTAAGTGGTGGAAAGACAAAAATAGTTGCGGGAGTCGGGACAAATTAGTTGTTTGGTGGACATCATGATGGAAGAAGGCGCTTGTTTTTTTTTTTTTTTGTCGTTTGTTTTTTGCTTTTGTCGTTCCGTTTCATTTTCTTAGTCTCTCTGGCCATCTCTCTTCCTCACTGTCTGTGTGTGTGCTTGTCGTCAAGCCCGTCTTCCCTCCCACTGAAGTCATCTCGCGGCGTCATGGGTGTGCCGACGCTGCCACGAAGCTCGGCGACGGTGACAGCGCACACTTTTTTGTTTGTTTGCTTGCTTTTAGAGCTTTTGCACGGAACTTTCATGCCGCGCTGGCTCTGTCACTGTGAGGTTGGCTGTGTGTGGACTAGAAAAAATGAATGCTCGCGGGACTTGCTTTGACGTGGTGGGATATGAAGTGAGCGGAGACGTAGCGAGGCTGCCCTCACAGTAGCGGAGAGCGAGAATGAGTTGGGGTGCGAAGAGGAACCAATAGTGTATACCGCGAGAAAACATGCGTATACTCTGACGTGTGTGTTGCGTGGTTTGCTCCACGGTCGGAACATGAGGCACAAGATAGTCTGAGGAAGCACCGTATCTTTGATGCGTTTTCTTTGTTGTTCAAAAATACAACAAAAAAAAAAGTTAATTTGCAGTGGAAGGGGTTGGAGAGTTTACGGAGGCGCGATGTATTTACACGCGAAGTTTAACATGTTTTGCTGTTAAATAGGTGAAAAAGCATATGCGTCGTGCGCGAATGCCTAGATACCCAGACTCATATGTACTAGATAGAAATGCTTTGGGGGCACATATGGGGACATGGATTATAGTCACTTGAGTGCAGTGACACACGTAACTGCTAGTTGCTAAGTAGAGGTGCAATAAACATATATGCACGTAGAAGGTAATACAAAAATGCCGCTGTGTGGTTCAAATGCCTGAGTGGTAAGGGACCACTCGTTATGTGGTTTTATTTGTTGTTTTTGTTGTTCCTCGTGTCTTTTTGAATGAGTTCAATGGCTCATACTCCAGTTAGTATCGTAGAAATGGTTCGTGTCCGTTTGGAGGAGACGTGAAAAAGTGGCTTCGACCATCAATGAGCGTAAGCGGCAGAGGAGGGAGGGGTAGATGAGGCCTACGCCTACCCCGTCACGCAGCCGCATGATATGGAGTTCGATAGCGTGTTATTCCTTATTCGTCGAGTCGCTTGCAGAACTGGGCAGCTCAGTAGATGCATACTTCACTCTTCACACGGTGTGTGTTGGCTGGTTTTCCTGATGCACGGTAAGTATTTGTAGCAAGCTGTGCGGTGGAGGGTAAACCCGTCTTTTCTGCAATCCTGAAGACAGCAATAATTTGGGCATCGAAAATCGCCATGAAACGACTTGGGTCTTCTTGGCGGTCGTACTCCTTTGCTTTCAGAGAAGCGCCAACGGTGAGACTTCAGTGGGGGCCGGTGCATGCCAATCGTTTTCCACACACACAGGAAGAGAGAGAGAACTCTTCCTTGCTGGTGTTCTATCTATTTGCGGAGGTGTGGCTTCCTCTGTTTTTTTTTCCGCCCCCTCCTTTGGCTAAGGCGTAAGTGCGCACGGGCGTGTGACCCCCAATTTTTGGTGTCGTATTTCTTTTACCATTTATCTTTTTATTTTTATTTTTGATTCTGCCAGGTATGTGAGGTGAAGCGCCCCGTTTCGACGTAGTGCGACGCATCCGAAAGACAAAAATAAACTTTCTCGTGGCACAGTCTGTTTTTTTTTTTTTTTTTTGTTGGAAGTGGCGTCTGTTTTTGCTTATAATGAGTGCTTTGACACATGTTCGTCTCTCTAGAGTTATTGATTTTCTTTTTCTTTTTGGCCTCTATCGCTCTTTATGCGTGTCTGTGTGGTTGGACGCACAGAAGCAGCGTTAGATTGGCTGCCTTCTACACTTTGTGCGTGAAGAAAAGCCAGTACAGAGGCAGGGAAGAAAACAAGAGAGAGAGAGAGAGAAAGGACACGAAGACAAACGCGATCTCGCAGTGTAGCGTGCATCAGTGTGTGAAATGAAACTGCTGAAGTTTGTCAATTGTGATGCCCCAAATGTCGCCCCCGAGATGCTTCAACTATCTGTAGAGGAACAGCGGGCTTGTGTCCTCTCCAATGGGCATAGCGGTAATGGGTGTAGGGAGCAAGTGGCAAAGAGTTGGCGTCTCATCAGCGCTGCTGCCTCGATGGAAGGTGCATATTGGCTGCTGAAGGATGATAATACGCCTATAGGGCCGATTGACAAGGTTCTGCTTGCCACGCGAGACGGTGCAAACGTGGATTGCACCAAAATCCCAGATGGTGTTGAGGAGAGTCACGTCAAGGAAGTTGATCTTCGCAGTAAGATGGGCAAGCAACTTCAGCGCAGCCGACAAGAGTACGGCCAGACGTTTAAAACGGCGGCGAAGAACGCGGCACTATTGATGGATGCAGACCGACTGCGCGTGGGTCGTGAGGAGAAGGCCCGGCGGGAGCTAAAACGCGTTGTGGAGGCAATTGAGAACGGTGAGGAAGCTGTCCGTAAAACACGTGTAAAGAGAGAAGACAACAGCAAGAACAGTAGCGGCTCAAAGAAACGCTGATAACGAGAGTTTCATCCTGCCGTTGTGTTTCTTTCTCTTCATGTGTGTATGTGTGTGTGAGAGAGAGAGAGAGAGAGAGAGGAAATTTGATGCAGTTAAGCTGTGTATTCATAACATCCAGCGTATAAACGCCCTGGGTTCCCCGAGTCTTTACTTGTACCACCTACGACTACAGTGAGGGAGGAACGAGCAGCGTGAAGAGACTAATGGATGCGTGGGGATGTCAGTCACCAGGTATATACATATGAAAGAAAATGGGAGTTAACACTTCTTTACGGTGCTCTTTGGTGTTTGCCTTTGTGTTCTTTGTGCTTCATGTGCGATGTGTTTGCAGCCTTTTATGTTGTTGTTGTTTTCTGACGTTTTTGTTTGTGTTTGGTAATGTGTGTTATTGTGCGTTTCCAGTGAGGTGATGTACGATGCTGGTCCCTTTCGTGTGCCTTTTCCCTTCGACCCGTACCCGTTGCAGCTGCATGCCATGGAGGCCATCCGCGGCGGGTTGGCGGCGGGAGACGTCGTCGTGCTTGAATCACCCACCGGGACTGGCAAGACACAGGTGCTTCTTAACGGTGTGCTGTCGCACGTCTTTGAGCCTATTGTAGCTTCAGGAGGCAACGACGCCGCACTGCTTCAGCAGCAGAATGCATCACCACCGAAAACCGTGGCCTCAGTCCCTCCTTTGGCAGAGGCGGTTGGACGCGGCCGCAAAAGACAGCGAAAGGGAAAGGCGACTGATAAGCAACGCACGAGGGTTTCTGCTCCAAAAGCCGACGAAGATGTGTTTTTGCTAGAACACAACACAGATGAGGCGATCTCTGAGCGACAGCGTGAGTTGGCAATGATGGGTGGCAGCTCATCTTTGTGTTCCTCCTCAAGTTCCTCATCTGTGGCAATTGCCGATGACGATGATGAGGTGAGTGACGATGAATGGGAACCATGCCTGCAAGCGTTGCAAAAGCCGAAGGTATACTTCTCTAGTCGCACCCACACGCAACTGCAACAGCTCACCGAGGAGCTGGGTCGAACCGTGTTTGCAAGGCATCCGGTTCGTCCGCGCCGTCGTCAGCACATAGTCATTGGTGGCGAACATAACAATGAGGCCGTGGAGCCTGTTTTGGATGACACACCACACATGCTGCGTTATGTTCATGTGGCAGGGCGGCAGCAGCTTTGCATAAATGCTTCTTTAAGGGCTGCAGCAGGTAACAACAACGAGCGTCTGAATGAGTTGTGTCTGGAAGCAATGAAGTACGAATACTCCAAAGAGGGCCGCGCAGCGCGCAAACAACAAGAGATGCGAGGCAAGTTCTCTTCCCTTGCGGATATCGAAGATAATGCTCGCTGGGGCAAAGTGCCAAATGGATGTGGCTACTGCCGGCGAGAACGGTTGAAGATTCTGAGAGACTATGTTAATATAGCACCTCGAGGACTTTTGGAGATGCGGGAACTTGGAAGGACCGTCGGTGCTTGCCCGTTTCTTGCCACTCGCGAACTGCTTCGTGGAGCTGATGTCGTTTTGATTCCCTACAGTTACCTTGTTTCACCCGAGGTGCGACATATATTGCTGTCAGGGACGGCAACAAATGCATATGAAACAGCAGCACAACTGGAGGAAGCAAAAAAGCATAGGGACTTTGATACTACTACTACCGCTTCGCACTTACACCGTACCATGCCGTTCGATCAAGACTCCATTTTGCCTCCCAACTTCTCTGGGGATGTAATTGTTGTGGATGAAGCACACAATCTCGTGGATGCCTGCCGCAATGCGACTGCAAGCACGGTGTCATCGGTGGACCTGTCACTGGTGCGGCGAATTCTTGATGGATACTGCAGCCTCTACGAAAAGAGGCTCCTCACACGCAACAAGCAACGCCTTCGTGAGATGGTGTCATTTGTCGATAATTTGTTAACGTACTTAAACGTGACGTCTGTGGAACAAACTAACTCAGCAGCAGCGGTAGTGTGCACTTTTTCGTCTTTTGTGTTTGATGCGAATGTGGACAACGTAAATGTTTATAGCTTTCTGACCTTTTTGAGTGAGAGTCGCCTTTTACCGAAACTGCACAGTCTTGTGGCATTCTTGACCTTGCGTGGGAAGGAGTCTTCAGAGCAAGAAAGGCACTCACTGGCCGCAACGGGGCGAAGCATCCACAGAGGTGGAGCCAACAAGGCTGCAGATAATAATACAACTCGTGGGGGAGCAACGGATGCAATTCTTTTGGCTGCCGATCAGGATCCTAAATTGGTTACGGGTGCGCTGTATAGATTTGACGCCTTCTTGCGTTGGTACAGTCGCTCGGATGAGCACTCACGCTTTCTCCTGCGTCGAGCACCGGTAGAGGGAGAAAAGGGGCCAACCGACATTGTTACGCTTCACTTGCTGCAATTAGAGCCCGGAACACATACACTGTTCCCAGTGTTAGACCAAGTACAAGCGGCTGTATTGGCTGGTGGCACCATGAAGCCGCTTGCCCTGACGTGTGATTTGCTCCTACGATCTCTCAACCCACGCCAACCATCTTCAGCTTATGCGGATGAAATGGACGACATGACAAACTTGGAGAGGAAACGGGGAAACGTCTTGACAGAGAAGAAGGTCCTTTTCATCGAGGAGGGTCATATCGTTCCGTTCTCATCCATTGCGGTGTTTACATTGGGTGTTGGTCCAAGTGGTTATCGTGTGGAACTACAACATGCGACACGTAATCAGTGGGATCGCCAGTTTGAGGAGATTGCAGCTGCATTGCTGAATTTTTGTCGTGTCATACCCGACGGTGTGATTGTTTTCTTTACTTCGTATGAGATGGAGGAAAAATTTCTGAGAATTTTGCAACAAACTGGCCTGTATGACGCAATTAACGATGTGAAGCGCATTTTTCGTGAGCCGGGGCGTCTCACCACTTCGAGGGTCCCCGCTCAGCGCAGCGAGGAAGGAACATCCTTGTCTAACGCGGTGGATGCAATGTTGGCGGAATACGCCCAATGGATTCGCACCGAGTCTTCGGGAGGTGCACTTTTGTTTGCCGTCATGGGTGGGAAGCTTTCAGAGGGCATTAATTTCAACGACGATCTCGGTCGCGCCGTGATTGTTATTGGGTTGCCGTATGCCAATCCCAGTGATGTGGAGTTACAGCTGTATTTGGGTCACATTGTTAACACACGTCTGCTGCGGGACTCAACCTCTGCAGGGTCGAATACGCCCACTTTGGGTGTTGTCAAAAATGAGGGATCTTCACCATTTAATTCTTCCGCGGAGTGGGGCCTCTTTACGGACCTCTGCCTACGCACTGTCAACCAGAGCATGGGTCGCTGCATTCGTCACGCGGCGGACTACGCCGTTGTGGTCCTTTTTGATGCACGTTACGGGGAACGGCCTGACATACATCGTCGTATTGCCTCGTGGATGCAACCCTCTGTCCGGGTGACGCGCACCTTTGGTGAGTGTTTTAGAGGCGTGAGAGATTTTTTTAAGGCTTTACACTGACGTCAGAATGCGTCTTAATGCGTGTTGGATATGTGCAGGATTCTGCTTCTCCCCGTTTTTCTTTTTTTAAGTGCGTATTTGGAGGCAATTTATTTTTATTTTTTTGCTTGCAACATTCTCGCGCATCCCTTGCCCCCTTCGTTGCCTTCCGCTACATTAGACTGACCGTGACAAATTGTTTATCCGCTAAGGCGTAGGCTGGATGCGCCTTGATGTTGTTTTGCTCCTGTTTTTTTTTTTTCTTTCTTCCATGACGCATGGCAAAAACTTATTTTCAGCAAGAGAGTTTCTCTGTGTGTATGTGTGTGTGTGTGTGTGTCTGTTACGGGAGAGAGGAGGGGAGAGGGGCGATACTGGAAAGGAATGATCATGAAAGTGTTGAGGGTGTTAGTGTACGTGTTGTACTGTTGTTACTATTATTATTTGCATCACGGGTAGTAATTATAAATTTATCAACGTTTTTACAGCGCGTAGAACCATATTTATTTTTACTTTTGGTTCTTCCTTTCCGGCTTCTTGCGTTGGTGTGTGGGTTATTGTTGCCGTTGCTCCCCGTGTCTCTCTGCAGCCGTCACAGTGACGATGGCATACTGAGGGGAGCAGTCGATTTGCACCACTCCGCTAGCACCACTCAATTTGGTGCGATCGTCGTCTTCCCCTGCGGCGGTGTCGGAGCTACTTGTGTCATCTTCGTCGGTAATGTCGGAAGTGGTGCCAAACTTCCACGTGTGGGTGTGTCACGTGGTGGCGAAGAGTCGTCCGCCCATCGACCCTCCGCTGACGATGATTGAGTGTTTGCAATACCATCGTGCCGAGAGCTATGTCTCGCTGGCTCTGAGGAACAAAATGACTTGTTTTTTTTTTTTGCATCATTGCGCCCAGCCATGCGATGACGGCAAGAGATTCTGTGCAGTTCGATGGCTTACTTGCTTCGCCGAGAGGGTTTGACTGGGTGGAACCCACAGTGATGCGTATCAATCTTGCCCCTTGAAATTCAAGGGGCGAAGTTGATGAGCATGAACGATTTTTCATTTGATTTGTTGCGTTTATCGCCGTCATTGATATCATTGTACAAAGAGCGTGATGCGACTCACGCGGTACGTATTTGTGCGAGTTGCCGCAAGAAGCTTGTTGAGCGAATACGCACCACCAAGGGGAAACATTTAGAGCCATGAGTTAAATGTAGGAGGCGGGCGGAACGTTCCCGGATACTCTTCTCACTGAGTCCTTGTGAGTGTAGTATAAAATACATTAATACAATCTTTGTTGGTGTGCTCTTCCAGAACGTCTCTGGCGTCTGTATGGGTAAACCTACATTATATTTGCGATGCTTTCCTTTCCTTTCCATTCTCTCTCTCTCTCACACACACTGTTGTGTGGTAACCACGTGGTCCGCCCCTCGCTGCTTGCGCGCTCACTCAATGGAGGATCCCCGCATGTTCTGAGAATTTTTCTTTTTTACTTTATCACGCCTGTTGCTTGCGTCAAGGTGGAGACACAAAGTAACCCTTACCCTCATTCCCGCCACTCACGCACAGAAAAAAAAAAAGAGGAAAGGAACGGAAAAGGAAAAAGTTGTTTTCATTTATTAATATATTTATATATACGTATTAATTGCATACACGTGAACAAGAAGAAATCAACCATGACACACAAGAAGAATCCCCCGCCATACGGGTTGGGTCAGAGTCAGCAGAAGAAAAAGAATACTCATGCAAAGAATGCGCCCAATGGAAGTTGTTCATTATCGAAGATCATTGCGAATGATTCTTTACTTGCGACCGAATATGAAAAGAACGCGACCTCAAAGAGCCTTTATGGTGACTCCACCGCACGCATTTCAAGCAACCTGAATAACATTCATGATCGAATCCGCCTTCGCGCGTACCAATCTGTCTTGAGGTGCATTAAGGGAAAGTCTTTGCTTCACATTGGATGTGGCATGGGGCTGATATCGTTGATGGCTGCACGTAGTCTAGCCTCCGTTGTTGTGGCGATTGACAACTCTGCCATCGTTGATGCAGCACGGGTGGTTGCAGAACAAAATGGACTGCAAAACATTAGTTTCTTTCGTGGATCTCTGCGTGAAATGGTGGAAAAGTTTCCCGTAAAGAAGTTTGACGTTATTCTCTGCGAATGGATGGGCACCTTCCTTGTGAACGATCCGCTGCTGGAGGATGCCCTCTTTGCGCAGGAAAATCTTTTGGCTGAGGGCGGCGTCATGTGCCCGGATGGCTCGTCAATCCACATTGTTGGCGTCAGCGACTACTCCTTTCACCTAAACACGGTAGAGTACTGGAGCAACGTGTACGGCTTTACCATGGAGCCAATGAAGCAGCTTGTGCGTAAAGAGGTAGAAACCTGCGCTATTCCCTTGTCAAACATTGTCACTGACACTTGCCTGGCTCACACCGTCAATATTCAAAGGTTCAGAGGTGCCGATGAGAAGGATTCCGAGAATGGTTTTGTTGTCCCATTCAAGGTGAGGGCGACGTGTAACACGACGGTGAACTACTTGACTTTCTTTGTCGACGCCACCTTTACAAATCAGCATGACCCCGGTGCCAACTTCGTCATTGGTATTCGCCCTGGCGGTGGCAATGCCTGGACGGAGACAAGCGTCGGGCTGCTTGACCCATTGCCACTTAATTGCGGTGAGACGCTCTCGGGTGAGTTGCGCGTCCGTGTATTGGACAGGGAACGGGGCACGACGTTGGTGGAAGTGAAGGCACAAACCGATGGTGCTGTGGTGGCACAGAAGACGACGGGGTCATATGTCTACCAGAGCTTCTAGTGAACTATGGCGTATAATTATCGTGGACTTAGCGACGATGGAACGCGCGGTTTTGCGAGGACGGAACAAAAATGGAAAAAAAAACAGAAAAAAATACAAATAAATTAACGAGAGGAATAAGCTGGCCCCTCCCTGTGCGGGCGTACATGCGCATGTGTGTTATTTGCAGGATAGTGTCGGGGTGGGGTGGGGGGACGAAACGTGGTGTGCGTGTGTGCATGCATGCCTGCATAAGACATGGTGAAGGAGCGAATAATAAATTTAATGCGTGCCAAATGTAATATCACGACACATTCCCTAACACACATTGCACGGGCGTACGCACGCATACAGGCAGTCGTATTGCGTCACAAACGAATCGAGAGAGCAAGACAAATACGTAAAACTTAAACTAATAATAATGAAAAAAGACATGTGAGAACAACGCCTTAAAAAAAAGTGGGAACACGTGGTGAATAAAGTGTAGAACCTAAACTTAGTTCTTTTTTCTATATATATATCTGCTCTTTGCTGCATGGACCGTAAAGACGATGTGGAGTAGGAATGGTCATGCGTACAAAAACAAATGAATGCGACTACGAAGTTCCTTCAGAAAAGAAAAAAAAATGGAGAAGACGTATGGAGTGTGGAAGAGTGTATTGATATATATATATATATAATCTCTCCTTTTGTTTGTGTGTGTGTGTCTGCCATTTTGCAATGCAGTGTGTGTGTGTGTTTGTTTGTTTGTTTGTTTGTTTTGACTGCACTTGTGTGTGGCATGCGCGCAGGAACGCACAGCGGCAAGTGCTTTTTCTTTTCTGCACTGCCTTCTCTTTCTGCTGCTGCTGCCATGAATGCCAATGCATTTAGTAGGACATAAGGGAGAGTGGTGGAAGGAGAGAAAGATTTAGCCCACACCAGCTTCTTCGCTAGGTTGCTGCTGTTACTGTTGTTTTTCATTACAGAGAGAGCGAGGGAGGGAGTATCGGTATTTAATTGGGCGACTGTTACTGACCTCGCACATACACACACATACACACACACACACACACACACACACACACACACTCTGTCTATTATTAAAGGGGCAAACTCAACTTGCCGTTCTAGTTTGTCTGTTTATTTTTCCACTGTTGAATGTTGCACCGTTGCCGCATTCTGTGGACGGCAGATTTTCGGACCTCGTCAAAGATATCTGACGAGTTCAACAATGTTCTCAACCGCAGCGGTTGGGGGTTTGATCACGTTGCGATTGACATGGGTGCCCTCGCCGGTGCGGCGGGTCGCCTTACGCGGGATCTTATCGGTCAGGATCGTGATACAGAGACCGTCAAGGTGCTGCACCGACAGGTAACAAATGTTATTTTGCGCCGCATACAGCCCAAAAAGTCGCTTGCAATCTTTATTGATGGTAGTGAGCCACTATGGAAGGTTCGCCACATGCGGCTTTATCCAGGGAAAAAGTTTGAGGGAAAATTTTACCGTAGTGCAGCCTCTCCAATGGTGTACTTACTGGAGGACAAGATGCGGCAGGTTGCAGTGGACCTGCGTACGCCACCGAAGGAGTTTGTTGTTAGTGGTGCTGGAGTTCCTGGACCTGTGGAGGGCAAAATTTCGTCTTGGATGCTTGATCTTGCCTCCCGGGCTTTGCCTGATGGCGCCGTAACGCTTTCCCCACCATTTTTGTCTGGAACTCCGGCGGAGGTTACCTTTAATGATACCTTTTGCCTTATTGGTGGGACGGATTTGTTTCTCTCCGCTCTTGGGGCCACACCATTCCACAACATTACAACTATCACACTTCAGCAAGGTGAAATGAAGTCGCTCTCTATGAGTGAGTCTCTTGAGTGGCTCGCGATGGATCACCTTTTGAAAAGCGAGACATCCGATAATGGTGATCAGGGAGTGGGGCGACAAGAACTTCGGAAGAGACTCGCATTGGTGCGCACGGACGTTGTTTTCTTGTACCTGATGGCAAACGGCATCTCTGCCACAGAGCTTAGTGGACTGGGGGTCAACTTCAAGGACCTGATGGAGGCCTATACTGCAGAAGAGGGTACTGGGGCCCACCAGCAACATCTTTTTGAGGAAACACCAAACGACACCTCGTTGATGTTGTCTCCTGGGGTGCTGGAACGTGTTTTGTCTCGGGCAACCCGCAAATCAGGTGGGACACCGAGACCATGTCGTCAATCCGCGGATTATCTTGAGGTGCTCTTGCAAACTCACGCAATGATATGTAGCGGAGGAATTAGAAATTTTCGCTGGACACCGGATGATAACGACTCTGTCCCAGAAAAGCCTCCAAAGATTCTTCTCGAACGCTTCCTTAGTCATCTTAAATACCTGAATACATTAGCTCAGGAAGAAGCAGGAGGAACACAAGGAGATGTCGCGTCCGCCGCGAAAGCATTAAGTACGGAGGGCCAGAGTAAGGCCCCTGTCGCGGCCGTGGCGTCTGTTGACTGGACCTTTGCTCTTACAGGTTTAGAAACCCTTCTTTTGAGTGCACCGAAGCCAGAGATGGTTAACCAGATTATTCCAGTCTTTACGAAAGGGCATGCCTTGCCTACTGGTGTTGCCGAAGACATTGTTAACACTAAGAATGTAATAGAGGCGATTGAAAAGGCACGGAGCATTCTACAACTAGTGAGGGACGACAGCTTGGACGAAGGCGGCGTTGCTGTGAGGGAGCACCCTGCATTGAATCATCATCCATCACATTACTTTGTGCGCACGCCCGGTTCTCGTGGTCCTCCGCCGGGGTGGTCGTATCAGAGCATTAACCTGGGTGTGCGAGCGGCGGCACTTGGGGTACGGTATCGCACTGGCATTGGAGCATCAACAGTGACGTCGCGTGTCTTGGATGGTGTGGGTGTGGCGTCGAAGAACACCCTTTTTGTGTACAACACGTTCAAACAGGATGACAGCTGGAATGAGGAGCCATGTGGAGAAATTAACTCTCCTGGGCTATTAAGGACAATGGAAGAGCTTTCGACACTTCGTGTGGTAACATGGAATGTGCAATTCAGTCGTCACAGTGGCGAGCGTACCCCGCTGGGTCGAGAAGGCATTGATTGGTGCACACCAACACGCTATGTGGCGCTTGCCAAGACATTAGAGACCCTTGATGCAGATGTGATTGGGATGCAGGAAGTGGAGCCGGCATGGTGGAAGTACCTCTCTGAGCAGCCATGGGTGCGGGAACGTTATGCGCTGTCTTGTAATGGAGATAGCCATGCCATTCGTCCTTGGGGTGTGATGCTGCTTGTAAAGCGTCATTTGCGTGTAGAGGGAATGCATCATGCAAATGTGCCTGCTTTCTCCGGCCACACCAGTGTCATGCCGGAAGTGACTATTGCAATCTCCAAAAAGGTTCCAGTGACGATTGGGTCACTTCATCTGCTGGCACCGTACAATAAAAACAATGTTAACAATCGTACGACGCAGTTGGAAAACCTGACGAAGCGGGTGCGCACACGCTCCTCTGTTTCTGGTGTGTTTAGTGGCGCCATCGTCATGGGTGACTTTAATGACTGTGCGGGTAATTATTTTGCATTTCCACCCGAAATGGGCTTTAAAGATGCCTGGTCGCTCCTTCACCCAGAGGACGACAGCAAAGGTGAGGGATACACCATTGACGGCAACCGCAATTCATACGCGGGCCACATCATCGAGCGGGAGTTTTTTGGCCGCGCTGATCGTGTGCTATTTGCTTCCCGTCACCTGCAGCCCATTCACACGGAGCTGGTCGGCACCACCCCTGTTCGTGAGATGGGGATCACGAGGCAGGTGAACTGTGACAAGGCTGTTCCTGAGTACTTGTACCCCTCTGACCACTTTGGTCTTCTTGTCGAGTTTCAGGTGGTGTGACGTCGTCCATCCAAACATCGCAGCATTGTATGGGGAGGAGCCTACCTGTAGCGGGGCGATGTACTACAGGGCCAAGAACAACTACAACGGGGGACTGCTTTCCACTTGAATACAATTTCTTTATTTTATTAGTTTTGTCTTCACATTTATGTTTCTTTGTTTTTACTCTGCTGCCCCCACAGTATTATCCTTTTGCTTTTGGCGCGTCTTATGTCTTCTTGGATGTGCTGGTTTTCTTTTCCTGCCTCTCTTTTCTGGTTGCTGTTGGTCACAGGAGCGAGGGAAACATCCCCACACACTAGTGGAAGAAAACAAGAACGCATACACGCGTACAACAACACCGACACCAACCACAGAAAAGGGGGTGAATAAAAAAAAAGTTTCAAGACACTTTTCTTGTCATCTGTTTGTATTTATTGTTTTTTTTTCCTTTGCTTAATGTCCTTTCGGTACACGAATAACCTTGTGGGGGCACTGAAGCACAGAATGATGCTTGAGAGTTCCCATCGTGAGTTGGTGCGGCGTCGATTCACGGGTCACTGCCGTGGTGTGGAAGTGGTGTGCAGCGGCTACGGCACAGTGCTTGCGGTGCGTCTCGTTGATAAGGTGGCATGGGAGCCGTTTTACCGCAAAGGCCTATCATCCTCAACTGCGGAGGGTAACAGTACATCCAATGATAATGCTGTCAGCCCCCCTGTCGGAGGTGCAACTGTGGCGCCTGTGGATTTTGAAAAACTTGCCGAGAGCATCAAGGCGGCGTTGTGGGTCGCGACGCGGAAGATACGCTCCGCAAAGGAGGAGGCGCTTCAGCGGAGCCTTTCCCACAATAAACAGATGCGTGCAGGGGCCGATCTAGCGCATTGGTATGAAGAGGATGCGAACACACTTCGACCGTTGGCGTTCGAGGCGCTACAACATGAGACAGCAACGCCGTGGATGCAGTTTGTTCAGTTTGGGAAACACGAACATGCAGCGGCATTGCTTCAACATGAGTCGGGCGAGCAGGCCGGTGAATGTTGCACCGGAGACACGAAGAGGGATAGTCTGGAAAATGCAGAAGGGCATTGTGTTACAGCACTGGATGCGAAAGATGTTGACCCCACATCTATACCAATTGGATCTGTGCATCCACTGTTTCTTCCTGCACTCATTCAGATTGAAAGCCGTACATCTAGTTCTCTAAACGATGAGGCTATCCGTCAGGAGCAGTGGCGGGAGATGTCTCGCGATGAGCAACTCTTCTGGGAACGCGTGGAGTTGATTCGAAAAGGGCAAGTGGCTGTGATCAAAGGCGGTCACAAGCGCGACTACGCAGATGAGGCGGCTGTCGCCAGCGATAGTGCGGTGGATAAGGTACAACTACGGTTTACGCAGTGAACCAAGAAACAGTTGAAGAACTTTACACGCGATGGGGAAGAAATTCTCAAAAATGGATGATAACTACAAAGTTGTATTCTGCTTTGTGTTGCGTTGTTTCTTTTTTGCTTGCTGTTTTTTGTTTTTTTTGTTTTTTGTTTTGTTTTGTATACTTCATCCTTCTCTTTTTACTTTTTTCTTTTCTTCTGTATGCTTAATAGTGGCCTCATAATACTTGCTCCACGCCCAACCTATCGAACACGGTTGCATTGCTGGAGTGACGACGACAAGTGAGTGGGATTGCGGTAATTAACACGTAACGACGCTATCCTGATCACTACCTTCTTCAATTCACGGCAAATACGTGGAGCTGCGTGCCTGTGGCGGAAGTATGTTTTGCTGTACCCCTAGGCGTTTGACAGTGGTTACCGACACATGCCTTCCAACAAATTTTGTGCATGCGACAGACTTGGCTTTTTATTTCCCTCGATTTCAGCCACGTGCGCACCTCCGCCCGCATGGCATTCCAGAGTTGCAAGACGCTGTGGCGTTACTTCAGCCAGCGGGGGACGCGTTACAGCGACGATGGTCCAAACCCAGAGGCATGGGTGCAGCGGAGTGGGGAAAGTGCCGCGACAAGGCTCTTGGGTTATTGTTTCGCGGAGAGGAGATCATGGAAAACGTGGGTGGACTCAAAAATTTTGCTACGGCTGATATTTTGCGGTCAACAGCTGCGGTGAAATTTGAACTTCTCAACGGTGTCGAGCATTTACCGCGCTCTGATTGCGCCAAACGTTGTGATGTGTACCGTTCGATCCTCAAACAGGCGAGCTATCTGCTTTTTTTTAACGACAGTTGGGATAAGTCCGATGTGCAGCAAATAGACACTGCATGTGTCATTGTTGCTCACTTTGTTCGTGCATTTTGTGCGCTGTACCAGATGCCTTTTCATGCGAAGCAGGAAGATGGCGTCAAGAAAAAGTACGGTAATATTTCTGCCTGGTCCGTGGAGATGGATGAGGTAAACGAGAACGGAGAGAAGTTTCTCACGTCATCGATGGTTATGGATCGTATTGAGGAACTATTAAAATTGAGTAGAAAGGCGGCCGAGACTCACGCCGAAAAGAATCCTGAGCTCCGCTGGCACGTACCTAAGCTCTTGTTGCTAAAAGGTGTCTTTACAATTCCTCTAACAGGCCACCTTGGACACGCTCAGGAATGCATTAATGAGTCTGCTAAACTGGTTTACGAGTCCCTGCGAAGGAAGCAGCCCATTTTGGATGACATTTTGCCTCATAAGCAGGAACCCGAGTTGGGTCTCTTTATGCTTGCCCAGGCGGAAATGACAGCTCGTGTGTTTGACTGGTCCGTTGGACCAAATAAAGTCGATAAAAGTGTAATTGAGATGTTTGAGGCTGCCGCCAAGTTTTACTCCTCACCTTGCAACACCTCACTCGAGGCAGACGGCATCATGTCGGCAGATGGGATTGAAGAACGACGGTTTGAGACGGACGCATACATCTCCTGTTTGCTGAGTTATGCTAATTTTTTGTTGAATGCCCCACGACCCCCGGGAACTTCGCGCCGTGACTTTCCCGTATTCATGCCCAAGCAATTGTTCACCATGTCTCCCATTTCCATTGTGTCGACTTCATCCGATACTATTTTCACAGATGTGCAAAATCCGGTGACGATGTCTGTTGATGTCGTTCGTAGGCGGACAGGTGAGACGCTTGAGCGAGCGTTGAAGCTCAACCGCATTTTGTACCCAGACCATAAGCAGAACCCCAAGGCAGGGTGGACGCTGCTTGCCATGGCGTCCCTCTATGCGGATATGAGGGACTATTTGTATGCAACAGGACTTTTTTCGTCGGCGGAAAAAGCACTTGTGGAGAACTATGGAAATTATTCACTGGAACGACTGTTAGCCCTCAAGTTACGTTATGAATTTTTGGCCGGTGTGGGATCTGATCAGGAGGCAAAAACAGTAGCACATGAGGTGGTGCATGTATTGAAGCACATTGATTCGATGCCGCTTTTATGATGCCAGCAATCGCCATATGAGTAAACGCGGAAGACGTGGAGTGAGAGGGGGAGTGCGTAGTGAGGGCAGAGGAAAAAAAAAAACAAATCAAGAGGAGGCGAGGTTCTGCGTGTATGTAATGTATATGTGGAAGTGGGATACGAAGACTATCGTGCTCGGTAATATTGACTACGTAAAAATATTCTTTTCTCTCCGGTGTTGTGTTGTAACGGGGGCCGCTATTATTTGGTTCTTTGTGTTGTTCTTGTCCTAACGTTGCTTGAGCGGGAGAGACACGCCTGAGCGAGGAAAAGCCGTTGGTGGCCAAATGAAAAGTGGAGTATGAACTGAGTGCTCTCTTCGTATCTGTTAGGCACGGTGTGGGTGGACACCTCGGGTTTGAATTTTCTTTTTCTTTTTCTTTTTTATTCTGTTTATTCTTAACCAGTTTTGGGTGCAAGCATAGCAATAATAAAATAATACAAATAAGAGCAAGAAGGACCTGTGTGAAGCGTCAACACCTCGAAGGTCATACTTTTATATAGAGGTGTCTTAAATTGCGGAGAGGAAGCAAAGAGAGAGAGAGAGAGGGAAAAGAAAAGGAAAGAAAAATAGCACTAGGGGAGTCTGTGAGGTATTTCGGTGTCTTTTCTGATGATTGAAGAACAAGTGGAAAACTCTTCCCCGCCCTGTTGTGCCAAGCCGGAGGTTCGTGGTTATGCGTTGAAGCATAGGGATGACGATGGGTCTTTGGTGGAAGCTCATGCCATTGGAATGCATAATGACGTTGGGGACATTTTACCTGTGGAGGAAGCCTACTCGTCAGTTCGTGCAGTTCTTGCAAAGTTTCTGGAAAAGTTGCACCGCACCCATCCCTTACGTATTATTTGGGTACTCATTCTCATACTTCTTGTGACAAGTGGGAATGCGATGCAAATCATTGGGCTAAACTTTTGGATTCGCTCTTTCCCTAAAGATGGGGCACCCGGAAACTTCGCGACTCTTGCCGTTTCATCCTTACTGTTTGGATTGTTTTTTTTGCTTATGCTGGTGATATACCTCATTATTGTGAGACCATCTCTTGCGTTTCTTCGTTGTGCTCGCGGGTGGTGGCTGCTGTTTCTCATTGGTTTGGCAGACGCAGTGAACAGCTACATTGCCATCTACGCTGCCTCGTATACACCGGAGGTGTTGCAGGCTGTGTTTACCACCCTTGTCCCTGTCTATGCAGCAGGATTTACTAAGTGGATTTTGAAGGATCCGAGGAACTATTGTAACATCTGGGTCTTCGTGTCCTTCCTTCTTATTGTTTCTGGGGTGGTGGTGGCTTCCACATACCAGTTCGCACGTGGTTTTGGGGGTACGTCAAAAGACAAGGCATGGTGGAGCTTGTTCTTTTTCTTATCTGTCCCCCCCACGGTCTTGATGAACATCTGGCAGAGTTTGTACATGCTTTGTTTTACGTATGATCCTTCGTTTGAGGAACATCAGTTTCTGTCGGAGCAGGCGGATCCCATGCCGGGGTCACAGCGAAACAATCAAACGGAAGTAGATTTGAGTACGCAAAGCACTGAAAGAGGTACTGATAGCGAATACAGCGACGACGAAGCCAGTCCCACGCAGGAAAGGAGTTCTGCGAGGCCAGAGGTCGCCTCCGGCGACATCCATGTTTTGGGGAGAACTGGAGACTCCTTTATTCGTCGTATGCAGGGAAGCGATGCCCTTGTGAAGCTTGTCATGCTGACTTGCGGGACGAATATTCAATTTGTGTTGGTTATGCTCGCTCTTCCCATGGACGCCATCCCTTGGTGGGGCGGTAGTCACAGCGTGCAGGATGCGTGGACTAATTTCTCTGACGGACTCTGGTACATATTTCATTGTGAAAACACTTTCATCTACTGCATGGTGTACACCGTGGGGTTTGTCTTTACGTATGTTGGTTCAGCCTACCTCAACCAACACAGCGTGACGTTGTGTTCCATGATTGGTCAACTTTCCTCGCCCTTTACGGCCTTGATACTAATCATTGTGCCCAAGTGGGACCTTGAGAAGGGCTACACGCCGTGGTACATAAGTCTCATAGCGATTATTTTGCTTTGCGTAGGCTCATTTGTCTACACCTTGTGGGAAGAAAAGACCGAACAAGAGAAGGAGGCCGGGGAACACCGGTTAAAAGAGACACTGCTGTTTAATATGCGGTTTTCGACTCCAGCCACGAGGCTGAGACGCAATTCAGTCTTTTTCTCCACGGCACACGAGTAGTGGAGGTCAACGGATTTTCTGCATAAGCAGCGAGAAAACTTAAGGATTGGTGGGCAGTGTGCATGTGTTTATATTGCATATGGGAGGGGTGACTTTTGTTTCCCTTTGTGCTTGTTTGTGTATGTGTGTGTGCGGTTGTCCAAACTCACAGATACGTTTGCCAAGTAATTAACAGCAACGCGTCTCTCATCTCAATTACTTGTCCGCAGCAATACAATCATGTGGAAATAAATACCCAAGTCTCATCTTTTCTTTGGCTGTGCGTGAGTGTTGGGTGCATTCACTCGAGGCGTACGTGCAGCAGGTGTGGTGGATACTCCTAACGCAGCCAAGACAACAAAAGCAACAACCGTAACAACAACTTGAATAAACATAACTGTGGCAAGGGAGGTAAACGACGTAAGAGACAGAAAAGGGAAAATGGCACCAGAGCAATTCCAGTGCAACGCGGGGAAAGTGACGGACCGACAGCAAAAAAAAAAAAAACGTAGGGTGGGGGGGAGGAAACGGTGGAGGCAGAAAGATAAAAAAAAAAGGCACAAACCTGAAATGCGGAGCCATTTTTTCTTATTTTTTTATTTTTGTTTTCTTTTTTGTTTTACATTTTTTTTTTTAAATGTGACTGCAAAGGCCACAAATTTCCTGCTTAGATACAAAAGCCAAGGGCCTCTTCTTTTCTCTTCTTAGGTTGGGGGCGTGTGTGTGAATGTGTGACTGATAACTTTTTGTTTCTTGTTTTTTGTTCTTTTTATCCCACCCCATGTCCTGTTGGAGAGGCCTGAATTACCCGCAGAGATGGTCATAGGGGTGAGCGTACGAGAAAAAACAGCGGCGGCCGCTCGATATTGGCGACATTTACGCTTCAAAACATTACGACGCCGGTTGTTGACTCCTCATGAAGGAGAAATACGCCTACCATCGCCCTCACGTGAGGTGCACGGAGTTGCATTGCCCCCGTTGCGTATTAAAGTATCAACCAGTCATGAGGAGCTACTTCGATGGCTTCAATTGGAGTACTTTGGCTTTTTTCACCCAACCTCCATCAAAGAAGGATCAGAGGATTGCACCAATTCTGATGTCTGCGTCCACGTTGGGCCGCCAAAATCTCTTGGGTATCCTTACACCCTTGTCTCTGAGGCCAGCAATTTTAGTGAAGCAATTCGTCAAATCGAGGAACGTGCCACCTGGGAGGAAACAGACTCGGTTAGGAGTCTACACTCTACAAGGTGGATTACGCAGCCGCTGCTTGATGGGTTCGTTTCTCGTCGGGTTGTGGCCCATGTCGGTTTAACAAGTGGTAACATTCCACAAACGCTAGCGGTGGCCAGTCGACTAAAGTTGGAACTCTCACCGAGTGAGGTGTCTCCATACTACTGTGCCAGTGATCTTTTGTCCTCATGGGGACTTTTTGGCGTTCCAGATCCAAACAGTAAGGAGTTTAGAACCGACGATGTGAGTCGCCTGGTACAACTGGCGCATGCTAGTATCGTACTTCCCATGTATCGGGGCCTCTGGATGAATGGAGCCGCTCTTTGCAATGACAAGGGCGATGCTGTTTTGATATTAGGACCACGACGAAGTGGGAAAACGACGTTGGCACTTCACTGCCTTGCAATGTCGTCACCTCGTCTTCGTGTTGTGGGTTTGGAGAACTTTTACCTTGCCGAGACAGGCAATCTTGTCGACACCACGTCGGGCTTAGATGGATTGGAGGTGCTTCTCATGGGTCTTCCCACCTCCGTGAAGGTGGGCGTTGGAGCTCTACTGGGAACACTTCGTGCGAACCCCATGTTGGTGGAGGCAGCCCACACCTTTCAGCTTTCTCCGTCCACGATTCAGCAGCTTATCCGAAACAACGACTCGACCATTTGGAATATTGGCTCGAGTCACCAGATTCATATTGAGGAAGCCTTTGGACGTCAGCGTTGGTGCCCCACAATAATTGCACGATTAAAAGGAATTTTGATACTGAATTGGGATGTCCAGGAACTTTCCAGGTCGCATTCACGCGTTAGCTCGCAGGTACTGAAGTGGGATAGCAGGGAAAAGGGTCTTCGGTTGTTGACTGCCCTTGCGGAGAAGAAGACAGGCACTCTTTTTAAGGGGCATTATCTTCTACGTTCATTGTACGATGAGAGGAATGCGATGACCTTGCTTGAGAACTTCATTTTTGGTGCGAATGACTTCTTTGTGCCTCCACTGTATGAGCTGCAAGGTTCTGTTAGTTTTGATGCTGCGGTAAAACTTATTTGCAACCATATCTTGCAGCGGAGCGATTCTTAAACTGAGTATTCCAAAACATATACTGCAGAAAACAACTAAGACCCCCCTCCCCCAAAAAAAAAAGTCTTCTGCTGGCATAGCTACAAATATACCCAGAACGAAAAGTAAAAAAAAGTGAAGGGGTCGACGCTACTCCTTGGGGACAAATTTCTTAACAACTTGCACACAAGAAGATTTTTTTCTTTTGTTTCATCTTGAGCTGTCTCTGCTTCCACAGTGAGTCATGTCTGGGTTGATGGGGTGATGGAGATATGGTGCCAGCTGTTGGGTTTTTACATGTGTTTTGTGGTTCATCTGGTCCTGATGTTTCACCCTGCAATAAATCAAAGCGATGGCGAAACGTGGAGTGCCAATGGTGTTTTACGGGAAATGCTCTTTGACTCTCTTTGTAGTTTGCGAAGTGCCACATGGTGTAAATGACGAAGCACACTCATGCGACGCCGTCTTTTGCTACAAAGAGCCACCGAGACCATCCAGGCAGCAGGGGAAAGCGCGCATCAACAACTCTACGATCTTCTTGTGCAGGGCAGACTTGTGGCCCAAGACGGGTTTAGCTGCAGTTGGTTGCTCGCACTGTGCCGTTTGGCGCTTGCATCCCTGTTGCCTCTTTGTTTTTATGGGTTTTTTTTTTTCACAGCCGTAAAAAAACAAAACAAAAAAAAAACGACAATCTTCTGGCGGCGGGGCCGCCCCTTCTTCACACAATAAACGCAAAAACGGCTGTATTCGACAAATCCCGTTTTGTATGGAGTCTCCGTCTTTTTTTTTCTTCCACGCCCACGCTTGCCGGGGTGAATTCGGCGCTGGGGCGAAACCGCGTTTCAAACTTTCTGTTTCTTCTTGTTTTCCTTCACTTTTTCGCATCGCCCCCAGTGGAAGAGGAAGCTTGCAGCCGCTTCTCTCGCGGGATTTTTGCGGGTGCAAAAAGGGGAGGGCCGCAAGCGTGAGTTTGGGCGAACGCCCCACACAAAGTCACCCGCAATGGGCCGAGCACCGCCGCCCGACTTCGAGGCGGCTTTTGCAGATTTGCTGCT